CCATACTTATCAAAGGCCAACAATCGTAGTGTTTCTTGACATCAGGGCTGCCTTCGATTCGTTGGACAGGACTGTTCTCTGGGATTGTCTATTGAAGAAGGGTGTGCCTGAGAAGTTTATTAACATCCTAAAGGCCCTATATACAAACACCTCAGGCAGAGTGAGGGCATACAACCACCTCTCTCTATTGTTCCATTCGAGCAGTGGGGTTAGGCAGGGTTGCCCAATCTCACCATTCCTCTTCAACTTTGCCATCGATGACATTCTAGAAACAGCTCTGATGAATGTAAGTAATGGTGGTGTGGATCTGTTGCCTGGAGAAAGACTTCTCGACCTTGAGTATGCGGATGACATTGTCCTACTGTACGATAATGCCCAAGGCATGCAATCCGCACTTAATTAGTTGGCAATCAATGTCCGTAGGTACGGTATGTGCTTTGCACCTTCGAATTGCAAAATACTTCTACAAGACTGACAGGATTCTAATCCTGTACTCACCCTGGATGGTGAGCAGATAGAAATAGTTGAGAAGTTCGTGTATCTGGGTAGCTGCATAAGTGCTGGTAGGGGTGTGAGTGATGAGATTAATGCACGTATAGTGAAAGCCAGAGCGGCTTATACCAATCTGGGCCATCTTTGGCGCCTCCGTGATTTTAGTCTTGTTGTAAAAGGTCGGATCTACAACGCGCCGATGAGAGCAGTTTTGCTCTATGCTTGTGTAACTTGTTCTCTCCGAGCCGAGGATGTCAGACGACTCTCTGTGTTCGATCATCGCTATCTCCGAAGGATTGCTGACATCCAGTGTTGAAGACATGGCTCAGAATAGAAGCCAGTGGCGATCCTGCCGTAACCATTTTTACTTTCTTCATAAAACGTGGTTGTACTTTCCGTAATTGAAAGAACTCCTCTAGTTGTATCTTTCAGTTTCTACTATTATTATCAGCATTATTACAATTACACTACCTTACACTAATAATAAATGATAAATAATCATCTAAAGCTAATCGATAGAGTTGTTTACGATCCGATAAGTTTATACAGTCATGCAGCCTCCAGTCGACAACGCAAAACCAACGTTCTCAAACTGCTAGGTTCAAATGGCCCATCTAACAACGACAAACCCTCTCTGCCAAACTTCTGACAGAACAGTGATTTCGGACATTTCAATAGATCCATACTAATTATAACGATGAGAGCTTCACTTGCGATTCCATAGGAGTCTCAGTAGTTAACCTGTTCGCCGACTTGGCGTGGCGGAAACTGCAACACCTATACAAACATAGTTCTCCCGGCCCGGATATAGTTCATTCTGCAATACTGAGAGAAGAAACTTCAGTCTTGGCAGCACCGCTTAGCATGACGTTCTCACATTGGCTATGAGGAGGCACTGTGCCAGAAAGTCGGAATCTGGCCCACATTACATCAGTCTTCAAATGAGACCGATAAGTTGAACATAGATTTTATTGGTCAGTAGCACTTCGCTCAAAAGATCCCTCAAAAGTTATTTGGTATTAAATGGTGGTTGAGGGTAGTCAACAGGAAACCCTGGACCCAGCTTTCGTACTACTTGGCACTCGTCAGCAAGGTGTGGTCTTGAAGGAACTGGTGCTCCCTGACGGATTTAACCCCGTGTCACTCAGCTTCATAGTCAGAGACTATACCACTGAGCTGTCCGGGCCGCGACCAACCTTCTGTAGGACTGATGTAATCACAATTTACTGATCACTTGGTGGTGATCAAGGTCATGTTTGTCAAGTCCTTCTTAGTGCAGATCGAGTGCTATCGACCACGTTGTATCAGTTCCCTCAAGACCACAGGTACACCTTTCTGACTAGTGCCAAGTAGCACGAAACCCGGGTTCAGGGTCTCTTGATGACTACCTCCAACTACCATCTGATCTCAACGTGGTGCACGCAGTGCCAGGTCATCTAGATTGGTGGTCACATTGCAACGTGGTCGATAGCATTCGATCTGCACCAAGAAGGACTTGACACACATGACACTGATCAACACTAAGTGATCAATCAGTTGTGAATGTTATTTGGTCCTGGATAGACGACGGTTTACGTGACTACTTGCTTTTCACAAACTTCCTTTCACCCCAACAGAACGGTTTCACGGAGCTTCACCATTGTATTCGCAACCTACTGCGCAGATGGAGAACCATCCTTAGTAACAAGAGGAACTTCGATGTCATATACCTTAGTTTTTCAAAAGATTATGGAAGGGATAATCATATATTTCGTTAGTGAAATAAGATTATCAGAAATATGCAATGTAATAGCGCAATACACTTCAAACAATCTGATCACACATACACCCGTCAAGAACATTTATATACAAAAGTAAAGGGTCAACTTGACTAGAAATAGAGAGCAAATTATCAAAGGGACTATTTGCGTCAAATTTCATTCATCATATGTGCTGCAAATCATTCAGTTCCTCAAAAGGTCGCCCATACCTCTCAGCAACCCACAATCATAAAGAACCGTAGTCTTCGCCTGCTCAGCCGCAAAACGCATTGTTGGGCGGAGTACAGTCGAACTGACGACATCGGAGTGTGCAGGCAATACAAACATATAAGGAACATATGCACGAAGTTTATAAGAGAGGAGAGGCTTCAGTACCAGACAAAGCTTATGGATAAATTTGTCTCGGATCCGAAAAGCTTATTACGTTATGCAGCCTCTCTTCGTCAAGCCAAAACTGGAGTTTCCCAACTGCTGGGTCCTAACGGCCCGACCAACAACGACGGCGACGCCACTAACCTTTAAGCTGAACAATACTCTCGGCCATTTCAACAAACGCACATCAACTATACTGATGAAGGCTTCATCTGCAACTCCAAAAGACTTTCCGAAGTGAACCTGAGCGCTGACTTGATGCTCCGAAAACTGCAGCACCTAAGAATAGACACTTCTCCTGGCCCGGATATGGACCATTCTGTCATAATGAGGGAAACATCCTCAATCCTGGCAACTCCACTTAGCGTGACGTTCTCACACTCGCTAAGCCGAGACGAACTACCGGGAAATTGGAAGCTGGCTGACATCACACCAATTTTCAAAGGAGGTCGACGCAGCGAACCTCTAAGTTACCGATCGGTGGCTCTTCTCTCAATACCTTCAAAAATCATGGAGTCCCTGATATGCGATGGTATAAATGACTATTTACTGTCCTCAAATTTCTTCTCACCCCAACAGAATAGTTTCAGGAAGGGTTACTCTTGTATGACCAACCTGCTGAATGCGGTGGACAGATGGACAAGCATCCTCGATCGCAAGGGGAAGGTTGATATCATGTACCTAGATTTCTCAAAAGCTTGTAGTGACTCACTTCATCACAAGAACACGACTGGTTTAATAAAAACAATTATTCTTACAACCAACTGTACCAGTGTTAGTTTTAATGTGCTTTTGTTTGACTGTGCTAATGTTAGCTATTTTGTGCTTCCATTTCTTTACTTACACTTCGATTGTAAGTTCGCGCGAATTCTGTTACGTTCTGTAACCAAACTTCTATCCTATCTCGGTGTCCTTTCGATGCCACGAGATCGCCAGCGAATATATCTCGATTTGGTCCATTAACTGTCTTCTGATATTTGGCTTCTCGGGGATTTTATGGATTTATTTGGTTACGTTCAACATTCGCCTTCTGATTAACTTGGCACGTGTTTCTCGGTAGCGGTGTTCGTAGTTAATCTCAACTCGACGCCACGCTACAAGCTTTTGATAAGGTTAACCATACATGTCTTATCGATAAGCTCAAACGATTAGGTATCAGACCACCTCTAATCGATTGGCTCACTTCATACCTGAAAAATTGACATTTTAAGGTCAGGGTTAATTTCACTTTATCTCAGGCTATGGAATGTCCTAGTGGGGTCCCCCAGGGCTCAGTACTAGGGCCTCTTCTCTTCTTGATCTACATAAATGATCTTCCTCAACAGGTGACGTCAGACTTATTACTTTATGCCGACGACGTGAAACTTTGGAGAGAGATACGCAACCAAGACGATATACAGGCACTTCAGGTGGATCTGACTCGACTTCAAAGTTGGGCAGACGATAACGGACTTACCTTTAACGCTTCAAAGTGTAAAGTAGTCCATCTGTGACATGTCGCAGACTACAGTTACAACTTGGGAAACTCCTCTCTAGTAGTATCTCGAGTCGAAAAAGATTTAGGAGTCCTGGTGCCCAACGATTTAAAGTCTTACGCTGACTGTGACAAAAATGACTTCCGAGCAAACCTTGCACTGGTAACATTGAAGCGCATTTTTGGCCAGTTTGACAGAAGAACTTTCCATATAATCTTCGATGGTTTCATCCGTCCTCATTTAGAGTACATAAACATAGTATTTCCTCCCTCACTCCAAGAGGAGAAGAACACTCTGGAGCGTATCCAACGGCGAGTCACGAAATCAGTTCGAGGACTCAAATTTCAACCTTATGAAGAGCGCCTCCAATAACTTAACCTTTACCTATTAGAGTATAGGCGTCTTAGAGGTGACCTTCTAATAGCTTACAGTATCCTTAACACTTGTGGACATCCTCTTAAACACCTGTTTAAGCTTAGTTCCAACACTAACCTAAGGGATAACACCCAGAAATTGAAGATACAACTTAGCAGAACGGACTGTGGACACAACTTCCACTCCTTAAGAGTTGTGAAATGCTGGAATTCGCTGCCAGCCGGGCTAGCCCAAGCGACTTCCCAGGAGTCCTTTAAGAGATAACTTGGTTTATTCTTAAGGATTATGGATAGTATCATACAATGATTTACCAATTTCTTTTTCCTCTTTTATTGTCAACATACCTAGGTTCCTGCCTGGAGGTTTTGGTTATCCCCTGCTAATAGACACGGAGGCCTGTTAAGCGATAGCTTCTTCTAATCAGTCCACAACTATTTGAACCATTTGAAGATTTTTCAAGTATTGAATATACTAAGTTAACTACCTGGAGTTATCGATGGTCCACTGGTACTAGATATAGAAGTCTGTTGAGCGAAAGCTTCTTTTATTAGAGCAACAATCATTTGAACAGTTGGAAATGTAGCGAATACCTACCAGCTTCGGAGGGCTTCTTGTTCTCAAGGTTGCAATGAGCAAAAGAAATCAGTGAGCTGATCAAGGATAATTTCGGTTTTTATTCTATAATGATTATTAGAAAATTTGATGACTCGAATTCTTCTTAAAAAGATCTAGGTTTTGTTTATTGTTTTATGTGTCAAATCTCCATGCAAAATTTTCTGTTTTAAAGTCAGTGCGTAACTGAAAACCAGTCATAATAAATTTTTTTCCGGGTTATCTTCTTTTTTTTCAATAATATTAATTATTGCAAAATTTCAAATGGAATGTCAGTTTTAGTTTTAGACCATGTAGTTCAACATATTGATGGCTTGCAAACGTATCTAATTGTCGTCTATACGACATCTGCTATGTTTCAGATTTCTTCGTTGATAAGCTTATTGAGTCATTAAATTTATTCACGATTGTTCATCATACCATCATTCATAAATTAGTATTGTTTGTTGATGCATTCTTCTACCATTATAATATATACATATATATGCATCAATATATATTAAGGAATAATACATTTAAATGTGAATAACTTCCTGAAGTGCCTAAGTAAATAATTTGCAAATAACGCTTGATCATATTTACTACCAGTGTCTCGTGAAGTGAGTAACCAACACGCCAATGGATATAGTATTCCATTTGAAAGGGACAATTTAAAGCCTTTTCTTGTTCACTAACAGGAAAAATTACTTCTTGGCTTTGCCTTTTGCATGATGCTAAACATGCCAAACTACGTCTGAATGCTATTTTCTCACTTGTGGTGGCTATTCTATCACAGATCTCTTTACTAATTTATGTTCATCTGCGGAACTGTGGTATGTGTCCCACCAGTATAAGTTGCAATGGTAAAAACATTTCACTCTGACGATTTTGAGATTCGACAAGTTACCATCTTTAATAGAATGTCATTTAGACTGGAATCCTGACATCCTAGTGGAGCTGAGCATTAACCGTTTAATACTATAGAGGATCACAGCAATAGCTATGGCTTTTTGTGCAGTATGACGTATCCTTTTGTTGGTGATGTCTTCGGAGTGAGTACCCACTGTGGGGTGCAGGGACTAAATTAATTAAGGTTATACCTTGCGGATTCAGATTTCAAGTTTTGATTTCTAAGTTTCACTGGATATTTTAGAGCGGAATGCCGACTGGGGATAGTCTTATTTGGGAATGTATTCTCGATGGCGTAACTCATTTTTTATAATTTTGGATATACAACTTCACACATAAGTTATCAAATCGCGGGGCAAAATAGTTTTTTGCTGGGATGTGTGTCGAATAAAGAAGTTCGTACGTACCAGCATCTACTTTGGGATTTAAGGTCGACCTCCGATATCATGGTGCTAGGTTATTCAATAGATTGTTGAAAAACTGATCATGCTTGCAGCTGTTTTAGTTGATGTCTCCAATGTATCAACAGTGCATCGGTATCAATACTGTAAAATATTTACTGAGAAATATTCAATTAGCACTTTGTAGGATTATTGAAATCGATGTGACCGTTGTCCGTAAAACAAAGTTTAGTAAAAATATGTTAAAGTAGGATAAATAAGTAGTAGTCTCTTCAGGTGCACTATGGGACAGAACTTCATAAGAGGATCAGTTCATGTTTAAAATTGGATAAAGTTCAAATACGTTTGATATCAAATTATGGATGGTTGGAGTTACGATGTCTTCCTACCATTACAAATATGTTTTAGCTTCAACGCGGATTTGTTTAAGCCACCTTAAGCAAAAGACGTTCTACAGCCATACCCTTCTTCCGTAAGTTTTTCCGCAGAGTGGTTCCCGAATCGCGCTTGCCCTAATTAACTCATAATTATAGTCTTATGAAAACAATCATCTGTATAAATACTTTAATAGAATTTGAAAACTATCTAATTGACAACTAAGATTTTCGTCTGCAGTACATCAAAAAAGAATGCAATGTGTTCTCGCTTCTCACATTTTGCAATTATTACAAATTGTAGAACACAAAAATACTGGCCATATATTTGGTCCCAAATGGTCGCATCTAGCCTCCATGCTTCTTGGGTGGTATAATGGGTATAGAAGGTTACTTACCTATATTTTATGAATATCTTAAACAATCTATTTTCTCGAATACCTTGAGGGAAAATCTGTTCACGGTTTTATTCCACTATGTAAACTTAGTTTGATATATTCAATACTGTGTCATATCGCTGACTTTCGGTTTTTTCATATAAACTAGCTCGTTCTCCTTTATTAAATCTTTTATCAATGGTTATTAGTTCAGCTCTCTCCGCCTAGTTGTGATATTTTTCCAACACTTGCTCTTGCACCACTATTTTAACCTGCCAGTGTTTAATATCAAAACGTCGAACTTAATTTCCTGTTTGTTTTCCCAACTAATATCATAATTAACCATCATTTTGTTGGACGGCTTTATATGTTAAGATTGATCTACTTATCAGATAGACGAAAGTAAATGTTAGGAATGAGAGTGACTTTGTTTTTTGCATGAAGTGTCACAGGTTAGCAAATTTCAGAAACAGTTCGAAATTAAGCCGGTAATATTATTGTATCTGAACAGTACTTATTTTGTTGTTTTATCTACAGATCAAAGGTTTCCTCCTCTCAAATGGATATTTTAAATCTAAATAAGGTGGAATTGACTTGTCATGTATATCCACAAATCAAGAAATTTAAGGTCACTTTTCATCTTGGACCAACTTTCAGTGATCGTTGTTGCTACATTGACGTGGTGGTCGGGCTTGCCTATCGTGGTGAAACAACCGTTTCTCAAGGTCCTACCATGTCAGACAGGTCGTTTGAAGAGCGGTAAGACTAAAAGCAACAAACCGAAGGCGAAGTCGTACTGCTGACTGTACATAGGTGTGAAAGCAGTAAGGTGTTTCCTTCGGACAACCAGCATGACAGCGATGCTGCCTTCCCACAAGGAGGAATGGGGTTAAAAAAGGTCGACTCTAAAAATGCAGACCTCGCTTATCCGACGGTAAGGTCTCAACATGTACGGAGCTAACACAAAAATTACTCACAAAAAGGTCGTGTGTGGCCGACCTCAAGAAGTTGTCCCTTGAGCACTGTGATCACGCTCTCAGGTCATTAAGATCACTTCTAATCCAATTTCTTTTTCAGGTACCTTCAGAAGAACCCTTCCACGGTTTGGGCAGCCGGAAAGTTATAACGGCCCTCACATCTCTAACAGCACTGAAGACCACTATATTCATAATCAACTTCTTTCTTCAGTCCCTATTATTCCTCCTACGTCGACTTTCAACACTAAACTTCCTCTTTTGGCTTCCTCCTCAAGAATCACCATGGCCAACGATTCTAGTGCGCAAAACAGTCCCAGGTCTACTGAAACCTCGCTCCAAACTACACAATGGAACCTTCAACGTACACATCCTGTCAAATCGGCCAGCAGGCGTCCTTGGCTGAGACTCTAGAATCCCGTACAATTGATGTATGCTGTGTCTCCGAAACATTCACTTAACCTCACCTCGGCAAAACGGAGAGCCGACGAGATACACCCTCCGTGTATCTGGCGACCCAATGGCTGGCAGTTGTGGGCATAGCATTAAGTACAAGGGCAGAACAAGCACTTTTAGAGTGGATCCCCGTTAACAGTCGTCTATGCGTTGTTCGGCTTAACGGCTCCGTAAGAACTCGAAAGGACAGGGACACGCGTCGTTGCCTTTTCGTCGTTTCTGCCTACGCTCCCACTGACTGCAGCTCGGATGAAGTGAAAGATAAATTTTACAGAAAGCTTTCTGAAAAAGTTCAGAAAGCTAAACGCTCAGATATAGTACTTGTAGCAGGTGACTTTAATGCCCAAGTAGGTAGCTTAAACCAAACAGAAGGACATTTAGGTGAGTATTTTGGTATTCCGGCTCAGCGATAAGATAATGGTGATCGTCTGCTGCAACTCTGCTCAGACAGTCGTTTATTTTTAGCAATCACAAATTTTAAGCATAAGGAGAGACATCGTCTAACATGGTGACCCCCTTCACCAAACCAATAATGGACTCAAATAGATCATGTTGCCACCAGTCATCGTTGGAGAGGGTCGGTAGAAGATTGTCGCTCATTCTGGAGTACGTGTTTGGACTCCGACCATGCTCTTATACGGGTACGCATCTTCTTGCGCCTTACTGGACGCAGGGAAGCCACACCAAGAAGACCCATTAGAATTGAATTAAGCGATGAGAAGGCTGGAAATAGATTCCAGGAACAACTGAGGTCACACTTAGGTAGTTCTGAAAACGAGGTTAACCCAGATGTTGCTTGCAAAGATATACAAACATGTGGAAACAGCAGTGACATGTATTAGTGATTTAAACCAAAGGGTTACAAAAGCCAATGGATTTCTTCTAGGTCTATTGCACTGATGGATTCCCATCAGGCTCTGAACACGATGATGGGCGAAAGCAAATCAGATCTAGGTGAACCTAAAGTCTAAAGAACGACCGTGAGCACTGGTGGGCAACGAAAGCAAAAGAGATGGAAAAGGCGGCGGCTGTAGGTAACACCAGACAGCTCTTCAGACTCATAAAAGAAACTGGAACTAAGAATTGAAGTGTGAGACTGTATCGGAAAAAGACGACGCTCTTATCTGCTCCCAGTCCAGACGTTTAGGAAGATTGGCGGAACACTTTAAGGAGCAGTTCAGCTGACCTTCAGCTACTCTAAAGCTACCCACCATTTTCAGACAGTGTGAATGGAACATTGAAGTAGGTCGCCCGACTCTAGCTGAAGTTCATAAGCCTATGGCTAATCTGAAACAAGGTAGGGCAGATGGACTAACTCCGGAGGTCTTTAAAGATGGTGGTCCAATTTTAGCGATTAGGTTGACCAATATTTTAGCTAAAATCTGGGAGTTGGACGTAATCCCACCTGACTGGTCGCAATCGCTTATTGTCCCGATATATAAGAAGGGATCAAAATCGTCCTGTGACAACCATAGAGGGATTAGTTTAACTAATATAGTATCTAAAATGCCAGCCTCAATAATTATCGGACGCCTAACTAAGACTCGCGAACTACAAACACATGAAATCAGGCTGGCTTCAGACCTGGTCGTGGCTGCATCGACCACATATTCACCATTCATCAAGTTCTAGAACACAGGCATACTTATCGGCATCCGACAATGGTGGTCTTTCTTGATCTAAAAGCAGCATTTGACTCTGCAGATCGAGAGGTTCTGTGGCAGTGCTTGTCTTTGAAAGGTGTGCCTCAGAAGTACATAAACCTTGTGAAGGCTCTTTGCCCGAACACTACTAGTCGAGTCATAGCTTATGGCGAACTGTCATCTGGTTTTGCAACTTCAAGTGGTGTCCGTCAAGGCTATCCACTTTCTCCATTTTTGTCTAACTTCATCATAGACCTACTGATGGAAATAACATTCTCGTCGACTGAATTCTCAGGTATTGATCTCCTACCAGGAGGTCCACTTATCGACTTAGAATACGCAGATGACATAGTCCTGTTTAGTGAAAACGCTGATAAAACGCAAACTCTTCTGGTAGCACTGAGCAACCATGCCAGAATGTTTGGAATGCACTCCTCCCCGTCTAAATGCAAGTTGTTGCTCCAGTACTAGCCTGCGTCAATACCTGAACTAAGGATAGGGAGTGAAGTAGTCGAACGCGTTGACAACTTCACTTATCTTGGAAGTCTGATCAGCCCTAATGGGTTGGTGTCGGACGAAATCCCAGCACGCATTCGAAAAGCTCGCTTGGCTTTTTCCAAATTACGTCACCTATGGCGAAGGCGAGATATCCGTCTATCAATAAAAGGACGAGTATACTGCGCGGCAGTCCGTTCTGTTTTTATTTACGGCTGCGAAACGTGGCCATTAAGAGTAGAAGATATTCGTAAGCTACTAGTATTTGACCACAGATGCCTTAGAAATATTGCTCGCGTCTGCTGGGATCACCAGGTAAGTAATAGTGAAGTTAGACGTGGGGTATTAGGGAATGATAGTAATGCAGTTGATGAGGTTGTGAATCTTCATCGACTGAGATGGTTGGGCCACGCGTTGTGTATGCCTGAACACCGATTACCACGACGCGTAATGCTAACTGGTGTTGGGGGTGGTTGGAAGAAAGTTAGGGGTGGCCAAACTAAGACGTGGCATCAGTGCTTGAAGTCACTAACTTGTAGTCTGAGCCATGTTGGTAGATGCAGACTACTTGGTTTGGGTCCGCGTGACTATCGTAACGAATGGTTGGAGACTCTTGGTGACATGGCTCAGAACCGATCACAATGGCGTAGGTGTATACACTCTCTGTCTTCCCTTAAACTATGAGACTAAAATTATTTCATATTTTTCTTTCTACGAATTAACTTTCTTCCTGCAATCTTTCCTTTATATATTACACCATTGAGTTGATTGCTTCCATGAATTTGGTGTTCATCTTGTTGTGCTAATGAGGTGTGGTAACTTGGACCGATGCACACATGTGCCTGGTCCTACGTTGTAACTGATTGACTGAATAAAATTTTGTGTTCCTTTGTACTGATAAACGTCTATGTCGCGGTATTTTTTGTAGTGTAGAGTTATTCTCCCATAAAATGACCGATTTATTCATACTAGTAGATTTTGTTATGTGGATGTTAATGTAACATTGTTCCATGTATTTTAGTGAAGATCATGAAAAGCACGGTTCCTCACGCAAACATCGACGGGATAGCCGCTCACGTTCACAGTAATTATAATTGATTTTTATATATGTTCAATATACTAAAGTGCCTCACTATCTACGTATAAGTTGAGTTTCCGTACAAGCTTTTCCTAAAGCAAACTTTATCAATAAGGGTAAGAGAAACACATCACAAGAAGTTTTTCACTAACACTAAATACTTACCGTTTTCGTCAGACAATCACATCGTCTCTGTACTACAGGGTAGGGAGGTAAGCTCCAGATTGTAGACTGAGCAACCAAAGTTTAGATGGAAATGGTTAACTTTAGAAACATATCTGAGTCAAAGTATCTGTGTACACATGTGCCAAATTCTGCGTTGCGTTTAACTGACTGACTGACCGATAGAGTATCTATAAATGCGAAGAATGTACGGCTGTAACAGACACTACTTGACGTACTCGATCAAGTAGTAGCTTCCTGTAAGCTGCAGATTGACCAAGTGTTGCAAAAAGGGTCCAGTAAATCAATGTTCTTTGGTACCCTTCTCAATGTTAAGGATTACCACGATCTATCTCGATCGGAAATGCTAATTAATTCTTTCGGACAAATAGATGCTAGTATAGTTACCCATACCTATTGTTTACAACCCATCGATTGCTTTTATTAAACTATGCATTCCGCATAGGCCAAGGCACTGTAAACTGTGGTGTACACAGATTCCATGTACGAGATCTATATCTACAAAATGTACGTTTTCAATTTTGGCTTGCGAACTCTGTAATAGTCACGTCACTTGGTAGTACACTTCTTTAAAAATATGTGTAAGTACTAAATTTCTAATACAAAATAATATACTCCTTTTTTATTTCAGTGATAAAGACAAAGAACTGCGCATTCAAATGAAGTAAGATTTCAATTTTTTATTGTTTATCTAATTTTAACGCTACTTTTCTTAGGCCTTTGATGCTTTCTTCAGATAATGAATTAACTCGACAAAATGAGATTAGCTACATCGAAGGTTCAAGTTTCACACAGAAAAGTTTCTCTTCTTCGCGTAAACAAGACACAGTAGGTTTACACTGTACAAAATTGCTTATGGTTCTAAGTTCCATATAACTGTATGACTAAAGAATATTCATTTAAGCCTATCTTGCTACTATGTAGTTGTTATCTGTGTTTTGCAGCCATTGATCTATCTGCAACCTTGCAAAAGTTTATTACCTACCTAAGTTCTTAGTTTTCATTGCCCAACCAATAAATCTTGGTAACAGTTAGATTGAACAGCTTTAAATATCAGATGAAACAAAAGTTTCATTTCAACTCCCTATTAATATATCTAAACAAAATATTTATAGTTGAAACTTCCCCCAGATTATTGCCTACCGTTGAACACCTAAAACGGTGTATCTAAATGTTGATGAACAGTTAGTTTAGTAAACATATCTCAAATATATCGATAAAACTAACCTATCACTAAATTGTATGTATGTACGTATAACATATTTATATGTGGTGAAGAGTTATGTAAAATATCAGTTGTCGAAGTACCTTAATTACAGCCCAACTGAATTGCTTATAGTTGTGTCGGCACCAATTCAAAAGGTTTCGGGACTAAATTATCAGGAAAATTGCTTTAGTTTTGTTCACATAGAGCATAGGGATGTCCAGTAATTAATTGAGCTCCCTGTCTGTCTGATATTTAATGCGTAAACAGGTAGTCTTCCTCTATAGCTGGATAAGTTTCTCAGTTTATCAAATTATTCGGGACTAATTGAAGGAAATATTTCAAGCGAGTAAGTAATCCAGGCAGTTTTGTTATCAAGTTATATACTTATAAACAGAATATCTATTCAGAATCCTTCAGAACATTTCCTCTCTGTAATCACCAGGCTATTATCCAAAGAGGATCTGATCTACTCTTGTTCACATCATTTCTCTTGTTGACTACAAGAAGTTAATCTTTACATCAAAGTGCATCTACGCCATGGGAAAGATCACCTCAATATTTATAATTAAATATACTCTGATAATCGTTTGATGTTTCTAGCTACTGAATCCGGATTCACATTCACGGTCGACAGGTGTCAATTCAGGTCAATACTCCTCAATGATTTTGGAAAGAGCACACGAAGCGGCTATATTTGGTCATTCTTCAGTTCCTTTACCTTCCATTCTTGGTACAGATCCAGCTGAAGGCAAAGATAAACTAGTTTCTTCTGTGGATACAGTGAAGCAACTACTTCATCATTCGGTAATCTTCAGTAACAAAGATTATATTTCCTTGTTTTCTCACATGACGTGTCCTTTACTGTAGTCTTTCATGACTTTAAGTTCATTAATGCTAATAGATTTATCAATACTCAAAATTTAGATATACCTCAACAACATATCAGAATTAATACTTTGCAACCAAATAAAATCAAACTGACTACTTTTAAATTATGGCATTATGTTGTATCCACTCAGTAACCAACAACTGGATCCTAAGAATACAATTCTGTTTATCAGTGAAGTTGTAGCACTCATGGTACATAAAACGAGATGGGTATATAGTGATAATAACTAACACCGAAATCTGTCTACCTACAGACTTGTATATGTTTATTCATACAAGATCATTTAAGTTTACAGAGTAAGGTGACTTACTTAAGCGCCTAATTTCAAAAGCTCTAGTGTTTGAAGTGCTAAATTACAAACTAAACCAGCAAACAGCTTGTAAATAACAGGAAAGTGCTTGTTATGTCCGATTGTTAACGAAATGTTCACTCTGGGATCCTAGATTTTTACCAAAATTACTTATTAGTCAACGAAACAAACGGAAATATACTGTTACATTAACGGTTGTGCAAATTCTTTGACGTTGAGTGAGGTTTATTCATTGCGATTGAGAGAAGCATAAAGCATTTGTGCTGAATACTGAGAAAATCATTATTGGCGTTTCGAAATTTATCTTATTTTTTGTTAGGTTGGTATATCTTTTTTTTTCAAGAAATTACTAAAATTATTTTAGGAATCATTCCATTTTCGATTAAGCAGTTTACCAAGCAGAGCGAAATTCGTTTAGATTATTTCATCCGTTGGTTAGTTAACTAGTGATAAATGCTTGTTTTTATCTTACTCCAAAGTATAAATGTATTGACTAATAAAAAGCTGAAATGATTGCGTTGGTGTTAAATTTTTTGAGCTGAATGGTTTGATCTCTCAAGCCTTGTCATTCAGTATAGTGGCTTACATACTTCCAGTATCTTGCTTCTTTAAAAGCCACTTCTACAGTGTATTCTAAATTTATCTTAATAAACTATTGAAGATAAAAACCTTATATATATAACAAGTATATACCTTATCATGTTGTCCCTTAGCTCATAGTTTATTCATTCATTTACCAAGTCCAAATTCGTGTACTTGACTTCACACTACACATTGTATGAGAGATAATGATCCTACTTAGTTACCTAAACTAAAGTGACTATAGTAGGGTTCAAACGTGGGATTTAATAGATGAATGTCGAACGCCTTAACCAATGAGCCAATGATCAACTTATTCATTAACTATATGACTTTTCTAATATTGTTCTTTTTCTAGTACATACATTGTCATCATTTAATTTATAGAGTAACATTTTAGTTACACAGTTATCGTTTCTTTTCTTTTGTGTAAATTTACAGCTGGATAAATCCGATCCTTCCACATGGGATGCTTGGTTGTTGAAACTTGCTGAATTTAAGGCACGTCGAGCAAATAAGATTTCATCTACCATAAACACAAATCAGAAAAAGAGAATTAATGGAATTGGATAATAAAGTATACTTTTCTTATAACTTACTAATGGTTAGATCTATTTAAGTCATTATAGTTTTTATTTCCTGCGAATACAACATGTACTTTTTTAACGTATTCTTTTTGTGAAATATTACTACGAATAAATAAATGTAAATCAATTGTAATAGTTTTGATTTTTTATAACTCACCAGACTTGTTTTCAAAACTGTGAGGGATTAAACGCCGATGTCTGATTGTGTTTGGATAAAAAATAATGCAGCATAATTCTGAGCTATGCAGGTCACCATCAAAAATAACTCTTGATCCTATTTTTGTGCTTTTGTGTACTTACGAGCATGATGTGTTTGAAATATCCATGGAGTTTATTCTAACTCTAAAGTTCTAATATATAAAGGGTAATGCTGGAATGAATTTACTCTTAACTATGGAAAATTTATAAGTAGAATGTGACATTATTTCGATTTGTGGAATTGGACTAGATCCCTAATCTGTAAATATTTTTTTACAGTCAGGATAATTCGCCAATAAGACATTAGGTGTCTCAATTCTTAATGTGAAAGAGTTTGATATTCTAGTAAAATCACTTCAGTCAGAACATTTAAAAAAGAACACACCTCAACTTGGTAGTTTTTATCTGTTAAATTTTCATTTGGATTTTCCTATTACCTTAATAAATCATTCCTTTGGTCTGTAGACTGATTTGAATTGAGTTCGTACCTGTTCCGTCTAACACAATGTGTTATTTAAAATGTTCACTCTGTCTGACTTTCAGTTTGAAAAAAGGAGTGTGTTGCATTTTGTTTGACTGGTCGCGATTGAGTCCAAAAAATCTACTTGAAACGACTTTAGCAAATCATTCTAGAAACTAACGCTGCTAATCATGGATTCAAAGTACAGTTTGAGGTCTTCAAAATATTTGGATACTGAAGATATATAAATTCTGGAAACTTTTCAGCACCACCTTAGTAGTGATACATTATTGAGTGAATGTAGGAAACTGTAACTGTCAATTGTATTTGGAATGTATAACTTAATTTAAAATACCGTGAGAATGAACGTCATCTGTTCGCCTTCACAATATTACAATAAACAAGACTATAACACATCTAAGCGTAAATGGTTTAAGTAAATCTCGCCACACTTTGAGTTGTCACTACTGAGTGTGGCATAAATAGTTAAAGAATTCTCATTACCAATAATCAGCACTGCCTAGTCAAATGGAAATATATATAATTTGTTTAGTTAATCATTCTAGGTTATCTAGAGTTGTCCGTCATAACATAAATCTTTCTGTCTCATGAACTTTAAACCTAATTTTTCTTGAAGATTAATTTTATCGGTTCTGAAAGCTATGAATAATCAAAATTAGCGAATATTCATTTGATTCTAATGAAATAATTTAGATCTTTATTCTCATTTGAACCCAATAATTAAATGTTATTGGGACTTTATTAATGATCTTTTTTCTGTGGTCAACAAGTAATTAGCGAAACGCAACACATCAAAGCCTTATTCTAAGAAAGTAAATTATTCTAAGACAACTTGTCAGAGAATATTCCTGAATATCATTTATATCATTATTTTATTTGAACACATAAATATTACTACAAGGGGGCACCATATATATATATGCGCCACACAAATTTCATTCTATTTGTGTGTGGGCTGTGATACTGCCCAGGTACCCAGACCGAAGCAGGTGGTCTCCTTAGGGGGTCACACCCCGAGTCTTTGACCTAAAGGTCTGACCCACAAGGCAGTGGAGCATCGTGAGGAGATGCAGTCCCATGGTAGCCAGTGACCAACGATTGGTTCATACGCCATTACTTCCCACAGGACACTGGAGCCCATGTACACCATTGGTTTGGAATCCGGTTAACGTCCCGGACATTCGCTTTCCGTCCTCTGAATTTCGTAAACAACACCCCCGCCACGAGAAGGCAGTGAGTAGGACTTCCCTCGCAGAGGCTGTGTACGCGTGGCCATGTGAGAGCATTTCGAGAGGTAGGGCGGGCCCTTCCCACTCTTGGCCCATACCAGGGCATTTGGGGGCATTCCTGAATATCATGGGTTAATATACATTTTTTGGTGGAGTTTTGTTCTCTGAGCTGGATGGTTTGATCGTGGAGCTTTCATCGGAAGAAGTGAAGAAACTCGACAGGAAATAAGACAAACCATAGTACCGCTAACTCGGCGGAGGAAAGGGAACACTCAACTGACCTCACATGAACAAAAAGCCTTAAAGAAACTCAGGACTAGAGAAGATATTGTCATAGTCCCAGTGGACAAAGGACGCACTACGGTGATTATGGACAGGGAATAATATGTTAGGAAAGCCGAGGAACTGCTTGAGCATAAGAACGTATACAAATCAATGGACACATATCCAGTCAAAAGTTTAGACAATCAAGTCTCAAGGACTTTAAACAAGCTTGTCAAAGCAAGATCAATCGGGAATGAAATCCAGTGGTTCAGTACTCCCTCGATTATACGGTAAGCCGAGAATACATAAACCAATCATCCCACTACGTCCAATTGTATCACTTCCCGGAACCCCAACATACAATTTGTCATGAGAAAATTCACCGATACTGAAACATTCAGTGGTTTCATCCAACCACTCCATCAATTCTCCCATACAATTCCCGGATAAGCCTAAGGATATTCAAGTCAACAATTTAGAACTGATGATATCCGTCGCTGTAATAGCTTTACTCACCTCAGTTGAACCAAGCTTAGCAATGGAAACTATCCCTGCTTTCCACCAACGACACAAATCTGCCAAAGTACACGAAGCTCCAAAGTCAAAGTTTACTAAGACTCATAGATTTATGCTCAACAACATACTTCTAATTCAACAACTAAATCTACGGACAAACGAAAGGAAAACCGATGGGATCACCAATATCAGGACTTACTGTAGAAGCAACGATCAATAGACTGGAAACCTCGATCTTACCAGTGATCAAGCCAATAATTTGGATTCGTTATGTGGACGACACATTCGTCATTGTCAAAAAGGACGAGCTGGGAAACACCTTCAAACTGATCAACGACGTCTTCGACGACATAAAGTTCACGATAAAACAGGAGCCAAACAAAAAACTATCATTCTTGAATGCGTTAATCACCAGAACCGACACAGGAAAACTAGAGACTCAAGTTTATCTGAAGCCTACGCACACAGATCGAATTCTCAATTCCAGTAGCAACAACCCAAGAACTCACAAAATCATCTGCGTACAAGCTTTATTCAAGAACGCGGGGACACACTTGCAACGCGAAAAAATAAAAAATACCTGATTTCCACCTTTCAAAAGAACGGCTATCGAATCAGTTTCGTCAAAAATATCAGCCAAAGGCATCATCAGAAACAAAGTCAAGTACAGAAACTAACAAACAGATCATCTTACCATATACAAAAGGCATATTAGAAATTACAACGAGATTGTTGAAGTTTCTTGGAATAGGTGTCGCAGACAAACAACGAAATCACTTCAATCAATCCTATTGAAACCAAAGGATGAAATGACGATAGAAGAAAAACCGAACATCTACAAAATAAATTGTTCCAACTGCGAAATACACTACATCGGACGAAGTGTATGTTCCCTTTATCTTCGCCTGCATGAACATCAATTCGTGGTCAAACGCCATGACATATCCTCGCTTACATCAATGCATGTGGACACACATTCGACTGGAAGAATGTGGGGATCTTGGATAGAGGCAATTCTAAAAACACTAGAGAATTTTTAGAAGCTTGGCACTCAGGTTAATCAGCAATCAACAAACACATTTAAATCGACCCAATTTATCAACCAATCAGAAAAATTATGAACAAATATAGGACCAAAAATCAAACCAATGGGAGGTACAACCAAAATAAAGAAATAAACAATGACAGACTAAAGGTCAATAAGAACCAATCAACATCGAGGTCTACTGGGCAAGCTGTCAGCCATATGTAGAGAAATTTGAACACTTCACTTCTACTTGAAGTTCGTGCTGATGATGTCGTTCAGAAGAACCATGAAAGCACCACAAACAAATCATCCAGCTCAGAGAACAAAACTCCACCAAAATCACCCACATGAGCTACAAATCTTCATCTCAAATTTATGTACATATAATTCCGCACTCAAACATTCAAAGTTACTACGACGAAATAATTGTATCTATATTACTCAATTACTTCAACGAATTAGATTTCAGGAAACAAAATGACTAACTTGGCGAATATTTATTAGGAAATTAATGTTATTTGTTTAATCAGAACAATATAACTCTAGTTACTTGTTAGTCAATATATGAATAAGCAAAGAAAAAATTTCACAAGTAACTAACATTCAGTTACACTTCCCCTTGTAACGACGATGTCCCCATAAAATATTGTCTAACATGGACCCCAGATTGTAGACATCAGTTTATATGTATATTATTTAAATTACTGAAAGATGCTAAAACTGTTTTAACTGAACAGTACATTTACATAAGGCATAACCACTTGTATTTGTGTTTTAAAGTACATTCAAAAAATCGTTATATTTAGTGGAAGTCATCAAATAACTGATCACGTGATAGGGTCATTCGTAAAATAAGAGACATAAGAAAAGAAACACTTAATCTATTCTTATTGGTTTGTTAGACATTTTCGATAGTATATTTATGAAACTATAGAGACAAAAGTTTTTAAAGAAGTGATTTTTCCACTACGTGAACGTGTATTTCAACGTTTTTCACTTAGTTTTACATGTTTCCCTTCATTTTACACTATGACGGATTCTTCAAATGTTTTCAATAATTTCGATAATAAACCTGAGTTCCTAACACTCATAAAATCGATTATAAAGAAGGATGATGCAAATCGATTGCTAGCAGTATTAAATAATCTTAGTCAAGATACCGCTACTTTAAATACCACTGACAATAATAAATGTAACGAAATAGAAAACAAACTGTTTGATTTTGAGCATACAGTTCTTGGATATGAAAACTTATTGCATGTAAGTCCCTTTTTCGATAGATATTTGTTAGGTTTTTTCTTTCATTTTTTTAAACTGAGTATCGTGCAATGATAAAACTTTGCTATCATTTGTTAAATAGGATTTCAGAAAGATATTTTTATGTAACTATGATATGGGGACGACCCCATATTGGAGTCGAAATAACCTTTGTCTCTTCCCTCAACTACTGTTATTAATCACCAACTAATACTTTAGTCTTTCATAGTTCCTAATGTATCAAATAATTTCATATTTGTAATCCATCGAGAACCTAGAAGAAAATCCTAAGAAATGACAAGTACATATATGACGAGGCGAAAAAACAAAATGGAATTCGTTTGACCTTTCATTTAAGGAGGAGGATACAGCAATCTTAATATCACCTTGTAATTTTGATGTAACTTATCATTCAATAAACAGTGTCTGTTTATAAATAAGAAGTATTGCATACTAGACAAAGTGAAACCTATTGGACTATGGTGGTTTAAAACAGTTTGTCATTTTTTCTAAAAACTTATGATCGGTAATTCAATTTTAATATTGTCATAATATCGCTACCTTACTCCATTTATCTCAGAGCAAATATATTCACCTTAAAGAGTTTCCTTCTAAGTTGTTCTCAAAGCTATATACAGTTTTCCAGAAAATTCATCATTGCCTACAAAATTTTTATAAGTACACTTAAGTGTCTATTATTCAGTTTACCGCAATTATGATCACGAAATAAGATTTTTCTCAATGATTTTATGGGTCTTGACTTTCGTAAACAAGTTCCCTCACTACTCTTTTTACGTGATACAAAATACAAGTCATTCACTTTTGGACTTTCCACAGAAAACCGAAACACACTCTTGATTTTGATCGGTTGATTTCTATTATTATAGCTATACCAGTATTTCTTTTTACTGAGACAGATTCAATGCAAGTAAATGATAAGATTATGACTTTCGTTTCACATGTGATTGACAATGTAGACAAGTTTCACAATATAGCAACTGATAGTTTCAATGGAATTCACTTGATCATATATCCTAAATGAATCTTTTTAACAAATCGATTCTGGTACTTTTATAAGTAAAACTGATTGATGGATGTTTTTATTTTATCATAAATGGTTTATAGTTGTTTAAAAAAAGAATTTTTAATTCACTGTATTGAATTTTGTTATAACTATTAACTCATCTGAGAATTTAACTTTTCCAGCCTCTCGGGTTCCGTAAGCACAAGTATACACCACTTAATAATAAAACAAAATTCTCATAGTAATGTGGATTTTTTTTGTTCCATTAATATTGATAATGAAAGTGTATATTATCTCTTCTTTTATGATCGATTTCATATTTATTGATTTTATTTGACCTTAAACATATATATTTCTTGATTTGGTTAAGTATACAGCTTACCACGTAATAGATATTCAGCAATCAGCAATCACAATTAAAATTCACTGACTTACTTTTACCACTTACCGGTGAAAAATAAATTCTGGTTTAGATCACTGTGGTAAAACCTGGGATTAGCTAAACCTGTAACATTAAAAACTAACTATATAATCGTTTAACCCTCTCAGTTTGATTATCAAGAAATTTTGTTTTGTATCAATAGATCGTTTAGTTTAAACGTTAGTAAAACTAGACTTTAATGTCTGTTATTGGTACTACTACCAATTTTAGTCTGGTTAACATTTTAGTTCGACTATTTTGGCGAATAAATTAAACTACATTTAAACTTTTTAAGGATTGCATATGAATATACACTTTGGTGTGGGATAATGGATCTTGTATACATTTACTTCAAGGATGTATAAGTAGTGCAGATTTTTATAGAAGTTTTAAAAAGATTAAACTATATGATTGTTGACAATGTTTCGTTTAACAATAATTTTCTTTTCTATATGTTTAACAATGTAATATATGTTACACCTTGATACAATTGTGATAGTCAGCTCTAATATCCAATTAACCAAATTTTGTTGATATTCAAGGAAGTGTTTTAATCATGTATGAAATTATAGACTCGGTCATCTTTCGTGCTTCTATAGTCACATATATAAAAAAAGCGATCAACATTACATGTTTTTGAAAGCTCCAGTGAATTCATTGTAGTTTACATGTTCTTGAAAATTTGTTAAAGGTGTTCGTTACAAACTAATCTCAGTTGGGCTGTCACTAAAAATGAGAAAAGATTGGGCTACTGTCTCATCATAGTATGGGGTTGCTCAGTAATATATAGTCACGACCTTGCCATAGATCGGATTCAAGACCTGGACAAACGCTTAGACAGTCTAACCACTGGATTTACGTTCAATGCTACAGGTTTTGAACTTCAATAAATATGCAATAAAGCGAGATCATTAAAGGGATCTGAAGACAATTTAGCTATTTACGAACTCCATGAGCTATAATTTTTCACTGAAAATTCAGGAGCTTATCCAAAATTCAGTTACTATTAAAATGAGTGTCGTAGCGTAGAGGAGTCCTATATTAGGGCAAAACAACTGGCCAACGCTCTCTGGTTTTCAGTAACACTACGACTGAGATTAGTCTACGATGAATACCTTCTACAAATCTCCACCAAACCACCTCATATAGACTAAGAAAAAGGTAAATAATAGCCATAAAATTACATACAAAATCTAACCATACTATGAAATTCTTTGTCTTCAGCTTGCAGTTTTATATCATGCTTCCGCTTGTATTCAAATCTTAATCAATCCACCATATATGTGGAGTCCATATTACGTGAATAAAAATGGGGAAAGTGCTATGCAACTAGCTGAACAACAAGGATGTTTTAAATTGCAATATATAATGGCAGCAAATTCACCAGAAAATTTTTTTGTTACTCCTGAATTCTCACTCCGATCAGTTTCGTCGCTTTTAATTTATCCACAAGCATTTATTACAGAACCATTTTCTTATAGTGAGGTAAGTAGTAAATTATTTTAATCAATGCATTTCAGTATATTTGTTTTTATTCTTCACTTATTCAAAAATTTAGATAATGAAAATAGATTACAATAGTTGAAATCATGAGTCAATTGAAGCTAGACCACCATGGGAAACCTGGAAGCACTGGACAGCCGTTTCGTCCTAGTATGGGACTCCTCAGAAGGGCGCATCCACGAGTCCGCCTCTCGAGATTCGAACCTAGAGCCTATCAGTCTCGCGCGAGAGTACTTAACCACTAGACCACTGAGCCGGCATTCAACTTCAACTAATCTAAGGAATTGAGCGACACATCCACCATTGTCTTCAGTGGGCTGATATCTCACAGCAGACCTGGTTGAACTCCACTGGACACTGCTTCTCACTAGAACATGATTTTAAGTACTGAAATTACTAAAATCTCCACAAAACCCCTTCTGAAAATAGATTAATTTGTTTAGAATCAAATTTGTAAATTTTTGAAAATTATAATAATTTTTATTCCATTTTCTTAACAGGCTATTGATAATATAAAAAAATAAATAGATGAGATGAATGGTTAACCATCAAGTTCTTAATTAACAATTAAATTGTTCGATATATACTACGTTTTAATGAAAAGTCTCAAATACTTATTTGATCCTTACTGGCAAATATAATACAACAAGAATAATATTAAATTGTGTCACATCGATAATATTTACTTTATTATTCAGCATAAAAAGTAACTTTTTCACTGGTCAAATTTTAATGGCAAGTTACGAAAGTTAACCGGGTCTGTTGTGAGATAGTAACTCACTGAAGACATTGGTGGATGTGTCGCTCAATTCCTTGGATTAGTTGAAGTTGAATGCCGACTAAGTGGTCTAGTGGTTAAGTACTCTCGCGCGAGACTGATAGGCTCTAGGTTCGAATCTCGAGAGGCGGACTCGTGGATGCGCCCTTCTGAGGAGTCCCATACTAGGACGAAACGGCTGTCCAGTGCTTCCAGGTTTCCCATGGTGGTCTAGCTTCAACTGACTCACGATCTGAACTATTGGAATTATAATTGTATTGTATTGTACTCAATGTTTTATTAGTTAAGTCATTCCTAAACGTATTGGTTAATAAACACCGTTATCTACTTTATCCAGGTTTATCTTCCCCTTCAGGCTGTATGAACATATGATCTGAAAATAATAATTTAAAATCCATTCCATACATATCTGTCACTGGATCTGTTCAAAAGAGCTACTAATTAAAACCACTGATTCTGCCGTATTTTTTATTTCACAGACAACATCCAGCAGAATTATGGGTATGAGCTACCAACAATTTAATAAAACCCCTTTGAGTTACTTGTCCCCATAATGATTCACGGAGTTTGTCTCACTTTTATCACAAATAATATCGTTTATATTGGATGTGTACTCTATCAATTAATGTACAACTTTGAAATAAGTTTGAGAATTATGAATTATATAAGTTTAATAGAACAGAACAGGATTCGATCATAGGTGTGTACGAAGCGTTACTCGTGTATTTCGAGACCATGGAGTAAACAATGCTTGGATTAAGAATATAGTATTAGGCAAAGATAGACAATCGGTTGAAAGTAGTGAGTCTTTATCAACTGAAGTGGGTGGAATATGTGTTACGTATGTTCAACCATCCCCTACCTCTACGGGCATTGTTTTCTGGTGCAGGAGCAGGCTGGAAGAAAGCTAGGGGCGGACAAAACAGAACATGCCATCAGTTCATGAAGTCACTGATAATTCCACTAGGCTATGTTAATAAATACAGACTATCTGGTTGAGGTCGGCATGATTATCGTAACTATTAGTTAGAGACTTTGAATTACATGACTCAAAATAGTTTGCAATTGAGCAGGTGCATCTATTTTTTGTCTTCTCTCAAATACTGAGGTTGTAAATTCCTCATGACATTTCTTTGTATTTTTATTTCACTAATTCATATTTTCTTGAATCGTATCTTCGATGTCTTGTCCTTTTAATCCCCACTGATATTGTCATTACCTCTACTAATCTGGGATTTGGCCTAACAATATTTCTATGTTAATAGAGAATGGCAACTTGAACTGGAGTACATACGTACAGATTATATTTTGTGAATGACCGAGAACAGAATGCCTGTTTACTTGATGAAATTTTGAGTTTTAATCATTTTTTTTAAAAAATTTAATAGCTTTTCAATTGGAGTAACTATGATGTTATGCCTGGTAGTGCAGTTGAATACCTGAACAACAGAATAATTGGTCAATATAGATCAGTTCATAATTTATCATTACTTTTTGAATTGATAATTGCAACTCCAGAAATTTGTCCTACAATATTATCAGATATAAATGAAATACGTAAAATATTAAATGATATTAAGAAATATTATGAAAATTATAATAGAACATTAGATGATAAATGCCGATATGCTATGGAACTGCATTTTTTAACTATTTTTTCTGAACATATGACAGTAACTCATAAATGGGAAGAAATATGGAATAGATTATTTTATACGTGGTTATTTTATCGTACAGTAATTAAAAATAAAAAGAATATCAAATGGAATGACATCAATACTTACATGTACATTCAACAACCATTTGAATTACAAGCTATTTGTCGTATTTCATTGAGAAGATATGCAGTAAAACAAACAGGTATTTTGAAGAAAAAAAATATTATTACCGGTATTTCTCATTAAAGTGATATTTAATGATTAGGATACCATTTATATAAAAGTGAATCTATCTTAGAAATTATAAGCTTTTCAACTAACTCCGAGTTAAAAAAATGGATATTAGTCATTATCTAGTAGTTGATTTTCATCACTGATTAACCTCAATTATAGTACTTTTAACAAACAAGAAGCAATAGATAGTCCTTTCATTTTAGTGTGGAATTCCATAGCTGTGTGCGACTATGATCCTGTCAATTGTTGAACTCAAAACTTCCATGTCTGACTGTAACCGTCTAACCTGTAGACCACTAAATTGGGAACTCAGTGCACCAAATTTCATACTTCAGTCAATTCGTCATTTGGCAAATTCACTACCCAGTATCATTAGTGGCAACTGTCTCACTCCCAACATTACCAATCAATATCCTTTAATCACTACTTTTTTCTTATGTATGTAGATTTGGACATTTAATCTTAACTTACTGGTCATTGAAATTATACTCCCCGCTAATAAAATGCCCTGGACAAAATCATTTCTATTTGCCTCTATGTGAAGTTGTACAAGTTCTTATATTTTAATTAATATCAAAATGTTGTTGAACGAAACACCGACTCAGTAGACAATTACGGCTAAATTGCAATAATAATGTCACTCCTTTAAATTTTACTTCCTAATCATGTTGGATACAACAAGTTAATTGGCAATCACTGAAGAAAATTTATCGTTATCAGTCCAAGAAGCAGGTGTGTCCTAACGCTACTTATTGTAGTGCTTCAAATAAATCACTTTCTTTAACGAGAATTTTTGTAGTTTATTATCTGCTTGATAAACTTGGTACAACAGGACGCTCAAAAATACCCCATAGAAAACGGAACAACGACAGTGTGAGAAAATATAAGCCACAAAAGTCTTATAATAAATCAAATATATAAACAAACGAGAATAGTGCTTATTAAAATAGACAATTCAACTAACAAAATATTCAAAGCAGGTTTCATCCAGGTAAAAAAGTCCATTTTACGTTTTTGAAGAATGTAGTGAAAAACAAAATCATGATCTTCACTGACTACTATTTTGAGATGTTTGAATAATGTTCCAGGTCGCTGATTTGGAACAACTTTCAGGGTCTATCCAGACTATCATAGTAAAACAACAGGTCTAAAACTAACATAGCTATATTTCATGCCGCAAACTGGTCACTTTATATGATATTAGAACATAAGCGTTAAATTCATCATGATATATACCCTAATGAATATGATTGATTTGAACAATCAGTTGTGTCACAAAACAGGTCTTAGGTATTTCTATCTGATACATATTTCTTAACGGCAGAATTCGGAAGCTGTTGACACCAATAGGTGATGTCCACTAACTAGATCAAAGCAATCCATCTAACAGACATAACCAGAGATAGATGGTGGCTAGCATTTTGATCTAGCATGTGCGTTTCGTCTTATTTGGGACTCGAACCCAGGTCCATTCGCTTCGAACACCATCGCCTTATTTACTTAGCTTATCCATCTTTGCTTATAATGCTTGTAACGCAAAGTAATATCGATGCAATCCGTACAGAATGCACTTATGTTAATGAAAAACTGATTAATTACAGTCCTAAACATGAATGGGAAAATTCAAACAATCAATACTAAAATGAATTATCTAGTTTTTTCTGCGTGTGTTTTGATTGATGTATTCAATAAAATCGACTCAAACAGAGGGAAAGAAAATTTCGAATCTATGCACAGTCGTCTAACGCCCAAATATCATAAAGTCAAGTCAAATAATATCAACGTTCATACATTTTTAGTAAAACAATTTGACAAAAATTTCTCGAGTTCAACAATTTTGAGCAATGTAGCCAATCATTTATACAGTGCATAAACAGTTTCTTTGTTTACTTTTGTTTATTGAATTTACTTCAAATTATAAGTTTCAACTTATATATTTTGATCCCAACAGCGTAATAACTTTATAGGCATACTGTAAAGGTGGTGTTTCGATACACTAATGTTCGTTGTTCCTTGATTTTTCGAATGTGACATCTGTTAGCACTTTCTTATTTTGAAAGCATGCTTATATTATTAAAGAGCCCTAAATGAACTAAATTAACCAAAAATGTGGTAACAATAGATAGACAAAGGGCAATTTGGTAAACATAATAAACAACCCCAGCTACTATGAAACTATTCCTTCAAGTTTAGATGAAGGTTCGTACAAATTTATATAACAATCATAGTTCTTAGAAACTTCTTCATTATATAGATGAGTTTTAGTTGACTAAATACACTTTTTCGATAACGTGTATAAAAATCCTGAAATGCAGTGGAAATAAAATATGCATATTTTGTTCGTTTTTCGTGAAAATAACCGTTGTTTAAAAACAAAAACAACTACGTTTTCTCTACCCACCCTTTGCTGCATACAATTTTAAGATTGTTTCATTTCCGTCTTTTCAAACTAGATTTCCAAGGACGAATTTCATTAGACTTGATATTATAACCATTTCAACATACAGCTTTCATTGTTTTTGTCCTCTCCCTATGTACTTACATAAAATTTGCGATTTCATCTTAGGCATATTTTTTTACCAATCATACGTTGATTAATAGTTATTAGCTATTATTCAGAGGTATGAATATTTATACTATATACAAATACTTTTACGCTTTCCTACAGTTACATCTTGTAAACCGATTTCTATCAATTCTGACTACGTATTCGTCATTTTAGATTGATAACTACATATTTGTCTTTATAAAAATGTGAACCAGTTCGTGAGTTGTTACACTCCTTGACTTCCAAGTGCTGATTCATATTTACAAGGATAGATTTTTTGTATAAAAATCACCATTATGGATACAAAACCTGACAATATTCGAACACAGCTGGTCTAAAAAACCTAAAATGAACATCAATGTTAGTTGATGAGAAATTGTGCTCAAATTACAAATTCATCTTTGCTCATGACTATAGTTGCTTCTCATTATTTTAAGATATCTGCATAATGATAATTTAATATATTGTAAGGAAACAAATGTTAATGAACAACTACAGCAGCGAGTCAATTTATACTTTTTTTTCAAGAACAAATCATATTCACTATTGCACTTATGTAGAATAATTTGGACTAAGTAATATCTCAAATATTGATGTGTGAAAGTAAATTTTGCTAGGATTATTCATCAAGTTGTACATGTGCTGTCATAATATATAAATTATTTTCTTTTTGAAAAATTACTTTCATCAGGTGTCAACTACGCTTATTTCGTTAAACATTTGGACTTACCAATACACTTGGAAAATTACCTACTCTATAGTGAATACTGGTATCTTTGAAAATTCAGAAACCAAAGTCATACTAACACATAAAAAATTATATTCACAGATATCCTTGAATTTTGTACATGTTTCATACTGACATACACAATGTAAATACCGATTAATCTCTAAAGTAACATTCATGAAGGGTTATTTTTTAAGCAAACTAATGCATTACTACTAATTTTAAACCACATGGTAAGCTACTCAATTCTGTTTTAAAGACGTAACAGCCTGAATTCGTGTTTGAATAAATTTCAATAAACTGTCAAAGTAAAGGATATCCAAAGCCCGCTTCGACAGTTTGAATAAATGTTTGTCAGAACCCCTAATTTAAAATCAGTCACAAAATTGGGACCAGAATAATTCACTCGAACTGAAGAAATCATAAAACTACCTAACTGATTCTAAAAGCTGTGGCGACTTTTCGTGTTAGGTTAAATCAAAATATGATAGTAAAACTGTTTGAAATAACTGCTAATAGTTATCCTTCAAAAATCACTATCACCTGGGACGGGACTGGAAATCCATGATTATTGAACAGTTCTTACAGTCAGAATTTATGGGCCAACATATGGGAAAATTTTCCAATACTGATAATTGTATTAGTTCATAATGGGAATGAAGCTTAATTAAGTTCTTATCCGATGATCAACAACACTTCGACGATATATCAGCCTAAACTGCCTTACAAATTATATAAACGAACTCTAATTTGCTGCTATCAATGTTTTATAAGTAGCCAATAGTTAACATTTACTAGTCGAATGCTATTTTGAACGATATCACTCAATGAATCTCCACACTACTAACAGTACAATATTCTAATGGATGATATAAATTATTCTTGTATTCAAAATGTTAAATTTGTAAGGAAATTCATTTTGAAATAAATGATGTATTCTTTGACTATTACTTAGTCCTAGGAGTCTCCTAGCTAATTTTAAGCTTTTTCTATCAATACAGTTGATTACGTTATTGTCCGTTTGACGGTTAATATGAAGTTACACCGTATACTGTTTGATGAACAAAATTTCAAACTAAGATCTAATCAAATTTTCGAAAGATAATACTAAATAAAAATAAAGTAATTTTAGGAAATCGGTCAGTTAATAACAACGTAGAACTTCGTACGTACGTACATCAGTTCGAGTTGCCATACCACATTAGCACAGAGATGCAGTTATCAGTTCAAATCCCGTAGTGGTAAAGGTAGAAAGAGTATAAGCAGTAATCGGAAAATGTAAATTTATTAATCAATATTAAAAAAATATAGCGGTGAAGAACAGAAAAAGTCAGAAAATTTTATGATCTGAAACAAACAAATTAAAAATAAAATGATATTTGCGGTTACAATTATGACTGATATGAAGCATAAAGACAGGATAATTAATAGAATTTTTACAACTCTATATTTTCATAAAATATATTGTTAATCATAGTATCTGTTATTTGATTGCGATGAAATTGGTTTCCTTTAACGACTTTGACTTGAGATCTATCCAAATCCGGCCATAAATCACAATAGGACAAGAAAGCACGTAGTTTTGCTGGAATAGGCAACTTTTTAATAAGACTAGCATAATTATAATATTTCACAGAGTTGGATTTTTTATAGGCTTGTCTACGAACGTCTAAAATGAGAAGAGTAATTATAATGGAAATATGCTTTAAAAGAATAACAACGAAAATATGTTCTTATGAAATGTTAACAAACTAGTTGGAGAGTAAGTTAGTAAACTTACTACTATTGTAGGTGGTTACAAATTCGATTTCCAGGTAAATAGATGAATCACTTTAAAATATACTAGTCAGTCTACGGAATTGACTTCATAAAAAATCATCATAGTCAATAATTTTCCGAAAAAAATTGTTAAATGTTTCACAAGATTAAATATATATTGAATATATGCTCTATAGCTAGAAATACCTGTTTAATTGATTGTACTTTCAATCCATCAGTGTGAGATATGCTCTGAATGATTATAAATAAAAATAGTTCACCTCTTAACAATTACTAAAATAACTTTAGATGTACATAAATTATAAAAACCAGGGAATTTTTTAACAGACTATCCTATTTGGTATCTCTGAATTCAAATTCAGCAACCAACCCTCTCGATTCAAACGATCTATAAACTTAAGGGTATCAGTGAGGCTTTTTCCATGATCATGAGCACGTTTTAGGAAAAACTTAGCAGGGTTTTTAATTTGTCTTCATTCATGCATATTTCCATTAAAAACATTATTAAAAAGCTTACCTCCTAATAGCTGGTTTTATAAGACACTATTTATTCTGATGCACAAAGGTAATGCATTTCGGTCGAGAGTAAGGACTGCTAGAGTGACCAACTGCGTAAGAAATTTTTTAATCCTCATGATGCCTTTTCAATACAGAAACGGGAAAAGTAGTATGTTTGGGTCAAAATGTGAATTTTGTTTATCCGGTTAAAAAGACTTCCTGTTATACCAGTGTAGTGGACGCTAATCACGGGGTTGCTTGTAAGTAATATGTAGCTGAAGTGGTATTGAAGTTGCAACGACTGTCAGATAGAGCGAACAGTTTCATTAGATCGAAAGCACAGCGATGGCAGAACACTCTGAGACCAGACGAGAAGTCAGTTCAGATGGCAGAATACACCAAGATGCAAATGGACGATTGAAGGCTATGTATATGCATTATGTAAATGCTTTGTAACCTCTCACAACAAATATACCTTCTTTCAGCCTATTGCCTTCATACGCTAAGAATAATGATATAATCTTTGATTGTTTATTGACTATATCCCATACAAATAAGGAACATACAACCTTATCCTTAACTTGTGATATATCTTACTGTAACTGACAACTTTAATATAAATAAATTTAGGAACATATTACGGCATAAAACAACTTGTATTATTATTTTATTTGAACACATACATTTGGTACAAGAGTGCGCCAATATATATGCGCCACACAAAACAATGAGAATTTAAAGAGAAGGCAAAAGAAAAAGGTAAGGAGGGTAAAAAAAGAACAATAAGGAAGAGATTGGTGTAACGTAGTGTAAAAATAATAGTGGTAATAATGGGGGAACGGAAAGGTAAAATCAGAAGAAATCCTTCAGTTAAGGAAGATACAACCACTTTTTATGAAGAAAGTAAAAGAAGGTTACAGCAGGATCGCCACTGGCTTCTATTCTGAGCCATATCTGATAACGTCTCTAGCCACTGTTGCACCATCTCTCGGACCCCAGCCAGGGAGTCGTGAAGGACAAACAGAAGCCAGTCCTTTACAGCTTTCTTTCATCCCAAGATACCATGTCATATACTGACCAACTCCGCTTTTTCCAATCAGTCCCAGAGTCGGCAAATAATGCACGACTTGGAATTCTCTGGGACGACATTCGTAAAACATGTCCAAGCCACCGAAGTCGGTGTTTCAAGATGGTGACACCGATTGCATTATCGTCTCTGCGCTCGAACACACGATGCCGAACCTCTGCATTACTAACATGGTGTTGCCACTGAATGTCAGCAATCCTTCGGAGACAGCGATGATCGAACACAGAGAGTCGTCTAACGTCCTCGACTCGGAGAGGCCAGGTTTCACAAGCATAGAGCAAAACTGCTCTCACCGACGCGTTGTAGATCCGACCTTTTACAGCCAGACTAACATCACGAAGGCGCCAAAGGTGGCCCAGATTGGCATAAGCCGCTCTGGCTTTCACTATACGTGCATTAATCTCATCACTCACACCCCCACTAGCACTTATGCAGCTACCCAGATACACGAACTTCTCGACTATTTCTATCTGCTCACCATCCAGGGTGAGTACAGGATTAGAATCCTGCCAGTCTTGTAGAAGTACTTTGCATTTCGAAGGTGCAAAGCACATACCGTACCTACGGACATTGATTGCCAACTAATTAAGTGCGGATTGCATGCCTTGGGCATTATCGTACAGTAGGACAATGTCATCCGCATACTCAAGGTCGAGAAGTCTTTCTCCAGGCAACAGATCCACACCACCATTACGTACATCCATCAGAGCTGTTTCCTGAATGTCATCGATGGTAAAGTTGAAGAAGAATGGTGAGATTGGGCAACCCCATTAACCCCACTACTCGGATGGAACAATGGAGAGAGGTGGTTGTATGCCCTCACTCTGCCTGAGGTGTTTGTATATAGGGCTTTTAGGATGTTAATAAACTTCTCAGACACACCCTTCTTCAATAGACAATCCCAGAGAACAGCCCTGTCCAACGAATCGAAGGCAGCCCTAATATCAAGAAACACTACGATTGTTGGCATTTGATAAGTATGGCGGTGTTCTAACATTTGGCGGAGGGTGAAGATATGATCAATACATCCTCGACCAGAACGAAACCCAGCCTGCTCCTCGCGAGTCAATCTTTCTCGAGTTTTGAACAACCTACGAAGTATAACGGGAGCCAATAGCTTGGACGCAATCGGAAGTAGACTTATCCCCCGATAGTTGTTACAGGAACGACGTGAACCCTTTTTAAAGATAGGGACAACTATGGACTCATTCCATGGCGTTGGTACACTCTCTAGTTCCCAGACTTTTGTAAACAACGTCGTCAGTTCCTTAGTCAGAAAGTCACCACCATCTTTAAAAATAGCCGGAGGTAAGTCATCTGGGCCCGGTGATTTTTGACGCTTCAAGAGTTGGAGTTGCTTGCGGACTTCCGCCTCATTTAGTGGATCAGTCGTCAACCGCGATGGAGGCAGGACAGTCTGACCGATGTTGCCGGAGCAGCAGGCCAGTTAAACTGCCTTTCGAAAAATTCTGCCCATCGTCCAAGACGTCGATGGGTGTTAGTGATTGGCATCCCATCATCCTCGCAGATTATTTCACTCACACCAGACTTCTTGCTGCCAGTGGCTCGGATGAGTTGGAAGAGCTTCCGGTAGTTACCAGATGCAGCTGCTGCTTCCAGCTCATTAGCACGCTCCAACCATCAGGCTTCTCGGTCCTTACGCAAGCTTTGCCCAATTTCCTCACGTAACATCCTTCGTTTATGGTCAAACTCACGGTCACCCGGAGTAGACCGACGGGCTTAAATGAGTTGTAAGGAACCTGCAGAAACCCAGTGCTTATAAGCGGGACGTTTCGTGAACCCACAACTGACTGTACCCGCCATTTTCATGGCGTCATGCAATTGCAACCAATGCTCATCTATACTTTTCGGTGGAGTGGTAGCTAGCCTAGAGGCTAGCTCGGTTCGATACTTACTTGCAACAGAAGTTGCAACCAGCTTGCTAACATCAATCCGTTGATGGCGGTCACTTCGTTGGCCACTGAAAAGTAAGGCAAGATTGGCGCAAACCAAGGCATGGTCAGAGTCTAGGTAGTACTCCAAAAGGAGCGTCAGTCTTGTACACAACCACGCCAGCGGTAGCTGATCGCGATGTGATCAATCTGAGTCCAGGCTTGAGATGCAGAAGGGGGACGCCAGGTGGCACATCGGCGATGACTGTGTCGAAAGTTAGTGCTAGCCAGAAACAGGTTGTGGTCTGTGCAAAGTTGCAGTAGACGGTCCCCGTTATCTGACCTGCGACCAACGAGTCCCCATCGGCCACCTAAACGACTCTCTTCTGTGCCTAGACGCCCGACCTGAGCATTCAAGTCTCCGGCTAGTACTACAATATCTGTCGAACGCACTTTCTGGAGAAGAACAGATAACTGGTGGTAAAACTCATCCTTGATTGCATCCGAGCTGCAATCTGTCGGGGCATAGGCGGAGATGACGAAAAGACATCGTTTCTCACGCCGATTTCTTCTCACTTTGATGGAACTTTCTAATCTAACAGCACATAACCGACTGTTAATGGGGATCCAATCGATTAGTGCTACCTCAGCTCTAGCGCTCAGTGCGACACCAACGCCAGCAAGACCAGGCGAAGATGCCACAGGGTCCCCGGATAAGCGCACGTAAAACAAGCTTTTTGAAGTGACAGATGGAGAGCGAATTTGTAGTACTTCACCAGAGTCTTGAATACGGGTCTCGGATAGACAGCAAACATCAATATTAAGACTTTCCAAAGACATAGCCAGCCCTATCTGTTGTCCGACCTGCATAAGTGTGCGAACGTTGAAGGCAGCCAGTTTGAATGGTGCATGTGGTTTCAGAAAAACTGCTTCAGTACTCATATTCGGTGGTAACATACAATTTTCAACCGGACAGTGACTCGAGAACGTTTAGATACAGTCGAATTCCCACCAAAGACGAGCCGTTGTATAAGTATAAAAGAGGGTGAATAATGACGTAGTAAGTTATTATTATTATTATTATTATTATTAATTATTATTATTATTATTGTTATTATTATTATTATTATTATTATTATTATTGTTATTATTATTATTATTATTATTATTATTATTATTATTATTATTATTATTATTATTATTATTATTATTATTATTATTATTATTATTATTATAGTACTAATAATGCGAGTCACTTGATTGTTATTTGGAACGAGAGGAATATTTTCCATAAGTAGATAGTTCATCGTGTTTTTGTGTGCGGGCTGAGATACTGCCCGGGTGCCCAAACCGAAGCAGGTGGTTATCTTAGGGGGCCACTCCCCAAGCCTTTGACCTAAAGGTCTAACCCACAAGGCAATGGAGCATCGTGAGGAGATGCAGTCTCATGGTAGCCGGTGACCAAGGAATTGGTTCATACGCCATTTGTTCCCGCAGGATACTGGAGCCCATGTGCACCATTGGTTTGGGATCCGGTTAAAGCGCCGGACACTCGCTTTTCGTCCTCTCATTTTTGTAAACAACACCCCGGCCACGAGAAGGCAGTGAGTTGGACTTGACGAAAAGGTGAATCTACAGTGACTCTAGATATCCCTGAGATTATTGGAAACAGGGAAACGTAAGTAGGTAACATCAAAACACGAAAATACATAAAATCAAACAACGTAGTACAATTGTGTTCTGTTTATTATTCGTCTGAATCTTAATGTCCATCTTTATGAGCTCATTCAGAGACAACGATAATTAGAAACGTAATTCATGAAAATGAACCACCAATCTCTCTGTCAACACATTTTCAACACGCACCTATTGATGCAACTTACCTATGACAGCTAAAACATGTCTCCTGATTGTAACTCGACAAAAATCCATAAGACTTAAAGGACCGAAAGAAAGAACGTGTTGCTGATCACATTCATTAGACTGGCTCCCTGTAAGTGATCGATGCGATGCCCAGGCGATAAATAAATCATGCCAACTGGTATTCCAAATGTTAATGTCGTTATTAAACAAACAATTTGGATAAGATGTACAAGAAATATTATGAGAATTCACTAAGGAAACCCGTCCAAGAGCTAACCAAAGAGCAGTATTAAGTGGGCAAACAGGTCCTGACAGTAGTAGTTCAAATAATAAGATGATATTTCCAGCCGTACATCGGATATTTTCACCATACATACATGAACCAAATAACCACGCTAAGTCAGAGTTTTGAGAATCATAGTTCTGAAATTAGAAAGATAAAGGTTTCTGTGAACAAAAATTATATCAGATAATGCCGGTTCAATGAGAATTTAGGGTTTACAATCAACAAAACAAAGCTTACTCGCTTAAGGGCACGATTAGCATCTTTGAATCGTCTGTACAAACCACCATCAATTAATGTTTTTGGGTTGACCAGAAATACATGTGTTGTTTTCGCAACCAGTTTTTCATGGTCACATTCTTTTGACAGACTTGAATCTTAACAGACTAAAAGATACTAAGGGGAGTGACAACTTGTGTTTAAATAAAAATACGGTTTAATCACCAGTTTATAGAATGACCACTTCAAAAATTCTCAGTGGCAAGCTTTGTAACTAAAATGTCGAGTGACGCCTGTTTATACGAACTTGTACACTTAACGACAAAAAACAAACCTTAATATATCAGCGAGGTTTACTTTAGTCTACGTGTCATTTTGTAACCTCATTCCAAGTATATACTGAAACCTATAAAACACGCCGGCTAACAGCGCTTAAAACGTAGGTCCTAACAAACTAAAATCTCCCTAAAATCGCCATATCTAGTTGTGATGCCAAGGACAGTATTTAAGAATCATGTTGCAGTTTATGTTTAAAGGATAGAAATTAGTCATTATAGTTAGTTGATAATCACGATATAAATTTTTTTTTGAAACGACGATAACATACACCGCTCTATATAAACTGATAAGCAGAACAGATACAGTAATCTATAAAAAACATCTAATTTAGAAATACAACATTGAGCATATCCATCTTTTATTTTTATTTATTTATTTGAACACATAAATATTGGTACTCTGTCCGTCGTCCAAGACATTGATAGATGTCAGTGACTGGCACTCCGTCACCATCACAGATTGTTTCACTCACACCAGACGTCTTGCTGCCAGTGACCCGAGTGAGTTGAAAGAGCCTCCGGCAGTTACCAGATGTAGCTGCTGTTTCCAACTCATTGGCACGCTCCGACCACCTGGCTTCGGGGTCCTCATACAAGCTTTGGATAATTTCACTACGTAGCAGTTTTCGTCTGTGGTCGAACCCGCAGTCACTCAGAGTAGACCAACGAGCATCAATGAGTTGTAAGGAGCCCGAAGAAACCCAGTGCTTATAAGCGGGACGTTTCACGAAGCTTCGGGTGACTTTACAAGCCATTTCCATGATGTCATGCATTTGTAACCGCTGCGTATCTACACTTTTCGATGGGCTGGCAGCTAGCCTAGAACCTAGCTCTGTTTGATATTTAGTTGCAACAGAAGCTGAAACCAATTCGCTTACATGAATCCGTTTAGCGCGATGAATTTGTTGGCCACTGAAACGTGAGATAAGACAAGTGCAAACAAGGGCATGATCAGAGTCCAGGTAGGTACTTCAAAAGGAGCGGCAGTCTTGTACACAACCACACCAGTGGTAGCTGATTGCGATGTGATCAGTTTGAGTTCAGAAGGAGGACGCCAGGTAGTACACCGGCGATGACTGTGCCGGTATTTATTGCTAGCCAGACACAGGTTGTGATCTAAGCACAGTTGCAGTAGACGGTCACCGTACTTTGTAACGACTCCATTAACGACTCATGGACCCAAATAGTCATTGTGTCCCTCTGAATTAATTAAACCACCTACAACCAACAGATCTAACCATCCACATGTCATAAATAAATCAAATAACGACTGGTAAATTTATTACACCAATTATAAATAAGTGATACTACTTTTACATTTCTTTATCACATAGATATTAGTACTAAGGTCTGACTTGATCATTTAGAAAAAAGAGCATTGAGTAGATTGTTAATGATACACTTGTAATATCTAAATGAGTAGGTAATAGATTTTCCATCGTCTGGTGGTTTAGCGCCCTGGTACGGCTGAGAGTGGGGAGAGTCCGCTCTCCCTCTCGAAATACTCTCACACGGCCGCGCGTATACAGCCTCTGCCAGGGACGTCCCACTCACTGCCTTCTCGTGGCCGGGGTGTTGTTTACAAAAATGAGAGGACGAAAAGCGAGTGTCCGGCGCTTTAACCGGATCCCAAACCAATGGTGCACATGGGCTCCAGTATCCTGCGGGAACAAATGGCGTATGAACCAATTCCTTGGTCACCGGCTACCATGAGACTGCATCTCCTCACGATGCTCCATTGCCTTGTGGGTTAGACCTTTAGGTCAAAGGCTTGGGGAGTGGCCCCCTAAGATAACCACCTGCTTCGGTTTGGGCACCCGGGCAGTATCTCAGCCCGCACACAAAAACACGATGAACTATCTACTTATGGAAAATATTCCTCTCGTTCCAAATAACAATCAAGTGACTCGCATTATTAGTACTATAATAATAATAATAATAATAATAATAATAATAATAATAATAACTTACTACGTCATTATTCACCCTCTTTTATACTTATACAACGGCTCGTCTTTGGTGGGAATTCGACTGTATCTAAACGTTCTCGAGTCACTGTCCGGTTGAAAATTGTATGTTACCACCGAATATGAGTACTGAAGCAGTTTTTCTGAAACCACATGCACCATTCAAACTGGCTGCCTTCAACGTTCGCACACTTATGCAGGTCGGACAACAGATAGGGCTGGCTATGTCTTTGGAAAGTCTTAATATTGATGTTTGCTGTCTATCCGAGACCCGTATTCAAGACTCTGGTGAAGTACTACAAATTCGCTCTCCATCTGTCACTTCAAAAAGCTTGTTTTACGTGCGCTTATCCGGGGACCCTGTGGCATCTTCGCCTGGTCTTGCTGGCGTTGGTGTCGCACTGAGCGCTAGAGCTGAGGTAGCACTAATCGATTGGATCCCCATTAACAGTCGGTTATGTGCTGTTAGATTAGAAAGTTCCATCAAAGTGAGAAGAAATCGGCGTGAGAAACGATGTCTTTTCGTCATCTCCGCCTATGCCCCGACAGATTGCAGCTCGGATGCAATCAAGGATGAGTTTTACCACCAGTTATCTGTTCTTCTCCAGAAAGTGCGTTCGACAGATATTGTAGTACTAGCCGGAGACTTGAATGCTCAGGTCGGGCGTCTAGGCACAGAAGAGAGTCGTTTAGGTGGCCGATGGGGACTCGTTGGTCGCAGGTCAGATAACGGGGACCGTCTACTGCAACTTTGCACAGACCACAACCTGTTTCTGGCTAGCACTAACTTTCGACACAGTCATCGCCGATGTGCCACCTGGCGTCCCCCTTCTGCATCTCAAGCCTGGACTCAGATTGATCACATCGCGATCAGCTACCGCTGGCGTGGTTGTGTACAAGACTGACGCTCCTTTTGGAGTACTACCTAGACTCTGACCATGCCTTGGTTTGCGCCAATCTTGCCTTACTTTTCAGTGGCCAACGAAGTGACCGCCATCAACGGATTGATGTTAGCAAGCTGGTTGCAACTTCTGTTGCAAGTAAGTATCGAACCGAGCTAGCCTCTAGGCTAGCTACCACTCCACCGAAAAGTATAGATGAGCATTGGTTGCAATTGCATGACGCCATGAAAATGGCGGGGGCAGTCAGTTGTGGGTTCACGAAACGTCCCGCTTATAAGCACTGGGTTTCTGCAGGTTCCTTACAACTCATTTAAGCCCGTCGGTCTACTCCGGGTGACCGTGAGTTTGACCATAAACGAAGGATGTTACGTGAGGAAATTGGGCAAAGCTTGCGTAAGGACCGAGAAGCCTGATGGTTGGAGCGTGCTAATGAGCTGGAAGCAGCAGCTGCATCTGGTAACTACCGGAAGCTCTTCCAACTCATCCGAGCCACTGGCAGCAAGAAGTCTGGTGTGAGTGAAATAATCTGCGAGGATGATGGGATGCCAATCACTAACACCCATCGACGTCTTGGACGATGGGCAGAATTTTTCGAAGGGCAGTTCAACTGACCTGCTGCTCCGGCAACATCGGTCAGACTGTCCTGCCCTCCATGGCCGGTGACGACTGATCCACCAAATGAGGCGGAAGTCCGCAAGGAACTCCAACTCTTGAAGCGTTACAAATCACCTGGCCCAGATGACTTACCTCCGGCTCTTTTTAAAGATGGTGGTGACTTTTTGACTAAGGAATTGACGACGTTGTTTACAAAGGTTTGGGAACTAGAGAGTGTACCAACGTCAGGGAATGAGTCGATAGTTGTCCCTATCTTTAAAAAGGGTTCACGTCGTTCCTGTAACAACTATCGGGGGATAAGTCTACTTCCGATTGCGTCCAAGCTATTGGCTTCCGTCATACTTCGTAGGTTGTTCAAAACCCGAGAAAGATTGACTCGCGAGGAGCAGGTTGGGTTTCGTTCTGGTCGAGGATGTATTGATCATATCTTCACCCTCCGCCAAATGTTAGAACACCGCCATACTTATCAAAGGCCAACAATCGTAGTGTTTCTTGACATCAGGGCTGCCTTCGATTCGTTGGACAGGACTGTTCTCTGGGATTGTCTATTGAAGAAGGGTGTGCCTGAGAAGTTTATTAACATCCTAAAGGCCCTATATACAAACACCTCAGGCAGAGTGAGGGCATACAACCACCTCTCTCTATTGTTCCATTCGAGCAGTGGGGTTAGGCAGGGTTGCCCAATCTCACCATTCCTCTTCAACTTTGCCATCGATGACATTCTAGAAACAGCTCTGATGAATGTAAGTAATGGTGGTGTGGATCTGTTGCCTGGAGAAAGACTTCTCGACCTTGAGTATGCGGATGACATTGTCCTACTGTACGATAATGCCCAAGGCATGCAATCCGCACTTAATTAGTTGGCAATCAATGTCCGTAGGTACGGTATGTGCTTTGCACCTTCGAAATGCAAAGTACTTCTACAAGACTGGCAGGATTCTAATCCTGTACTCACCCTGGATGGTGAGCAGATAGAAATAGTCGAGAAGTTCGTGTATCTGGGTAGCTGCATAAGTGCTAGTGGGGGTGTGAGTGATGAGATTAATGCACGTATAGTGAAAGCCAGAGCGGCTTATGCCAATCTGGGCCACCTTTGGCGCCTTCGTGATGTTAGTCTGGCTGTAAAAGGTCGGATCTACAACGCGTCGGTGAGAGCAGTTTTGCTCTATGCTTGTGAAACCTGGCCTCTCCGAGTCGAGGACGTTAGACGACTCTCTGTGTTCGATCATCGCTGTCTCCGAAGGATTGCTGACATTCAGTGGCAACACCATGTTAGTAATGCAGAGGTTCGGCATCGTGTGTTCGAGCGCAGAGACGATAATGCAATCGGTGTCACCATCTTGAAACACCGACTTCGGTGGCTTGGACATGTTTTACGAATGTCGTCCCAGAGAATTCCAAGTCGTGCATTATTTGCCGACTCTGGGACTGATTGGAAAAAGCGGAGTTGGTCAGTATATGACATGGTATCTTGGGATGAAAGAAAGCTGTAAAGGACTGGCTTCTGTTTGTCCTTCACGACTCCCTGGCTGGGGTCCGAGAGATGGTGCAACAGTGGCTAGAGACGTTATCAGATATGGCTCAGAATAGAAGCCAGTGGCGATCCTGCTGTAACCTTCTTTTACTTTCTTCATAAAAAGTGGTTGTGTCTCCCTTACCTGAAAGATTTCTTCTGATTGTACCTTTCCGTTCCCTCATTTCTACCATACTACCTCACACCAATCTCTTCGTTATTGTTTTTTTTTGCGCTCCTTAGCTTTTTTTTCTATTTCTCTTCGAATTCTCATTGTTTTGTGTGGCGCATATATATTGGCGCTCTCTTGTACCAATATTCATGCGTTCAAATAAATAAATAAATAAATAAATAGTGTAAGCCACTATCTTTCTATGATCTTTTCGTATTTATTGACATGTCATCATTTCTGTGAATTCAAATAATCATGTTCAATAAAATATTAAAAGTAGTAGTTTCATAAAATCTCTAAAAATATGCTTGGATTCAACCTCGTTTACCCTTGACGTGACATTACACAAACAATGTGGTAATGGGAACTCATTTGTTTCCACTTGTAGCCACATAGAATCAAACATCTTCGTTAACGACATTAAACCACAAATTTAGCTCAGATATGTTGACGATACTTTTGTCATCAACAAAAGATGTTCCTAAGAACTTTCTCTGAAATGATTAGTACACACTGATCTAATATCAAATTCACTTTCGGAAATCAAAATAAACACGTTGAGCATTCATTTTCAGATTGTTTAGCCAAAATAGACCCAAGTGGAACTCTAAATCTAGCTATCTATCATGAACCACTACGCTTCAATGCGACACATTTATTCTGTGCATAAAGCTCTGTAGAAGAGAGAACGACATAATTACACCTAAAGAGGACAAAGAAAAGGAACAGTAGGCTATAATTAACATCGCATAATTTACTAGTCTTCCTATGAATATTATTAAAACACACTAAAACGGAACGATCTATTGTTGAGTAATAATTCGGATGAACTACCATAGGTTGGTGCTGTGTTTCTATCACACCATCATGGTACAGCAGGTCCCAAAAGAATCTTAAAACTACACACAAATGAGGCACATTACGAAACAACCAACAATTCGACGTGCATTAAATAAATGAATTTTATTCTGGAATTAACTACGAAATGCATGCCGATTAACAGGAATGATCAGGTTGTTACAAACAGTAATATTACATGTAAAAAACATATATACGATCTTAAATTGTTTGAAATGTAGTTTATGAATTATTTTGGGATAAAAACTTTCCTATGGATTAGAACGATGTGGTGTCAGCTGACAACTGTTAGTTTGTATAAAGAACGAAATTCCATTTACGCCAACACAGAACTGTTTCTACACATTAGTTTGTATCAGTTATGATGCCTTCTATACGGGAGAGTCATCTCACGAAATCTTAACACACGCCAAATAACATCGAAGCTACAAAAAGAACCACCTAATGATACTGTAGAACTTTGAAAACTCCAAATTAGATAGGCAATCGTATTGCATGCCATCTTCGATGACCATCAAACCAATACTCAAATATCAAAACAATTCAAAGAGGCTCTCTCAACTACAAAGGAAGGTGATAGGTGAAGCTGATCATATATTGCTAAACCCCACTGCCTTCAGTAGAAAAGAAGGTCTCACCATTCATCCAACTTGGATAGAATTCTATTCACATTCCACACCATAATTACACATACGAATTCAACTCTACCTTTTCACACTACAAATATCACATTTTCACATCCATTAACATACACACAAATATACAAGTACGTCTGACAATAATCATCTTGACCGAAGTGATATGACATTGACTTAATCAGACCCGGTTTTGATCATACTAAATATTTTTGCTTAATCCCTTTATACTATTTACACCTGTGTTGATTTGTTTGGTTTATTTATTTATTCACTGAAGAAGTGTCATACAATGAGTTGTAAAACATCAGAAACTTTATTTTCTACCCAGTGGAATATTACAAATACGTTGTCTTTATCATTCCTGTCATATTGCGACTATGCATGGAACATAGTAACAATGAAAAATTGGTAGTGGTTTGATTTTGTGAACTGCTATTTTTTATTTCTAATGTCCCTACTTCTAAATTATCAAAAGGTTTCTAGCCTTCACTTCAAAATAAAATTGTCACAAACATACCCTTCATTATCTGAAAAAAATGACTTACAGCGTTTAATGCTCCTGATATCAATTCAATAGAACAGGGCTCAATCAACAGAAGCTCAACAGAAAAGGGATGTTTTTTGTAAGAATAAGGAGAATCTGAATGTGACGCAAGGAGATAAACAACAGGCAAGTAACGTCGCCTCATAGCTAAATCTAATGGAGTATGACCAAGAGAGTTAGGGGATTCTGCATTCCAACAAAAAGGTGGATTTAAGAGCAGATTAATACACCGACTGGCTGACTGGTGAACAGCAAACTAAAATGTCCAGTGCAATAAAGTAGATATTTTTTTATTCATATGTAAGATGTACAAATTTCAATAAGTATGAATGTTAAAATATTTTAGTACATACATGACATTTATTTGATACGTCTCCAGCTGTGACCTTTTGGGGGAGAATTCTTTATTATTAACCTGTTTTAGATTCCCTTGTTTTACCTGAAGTAAAAAGGAGACCATCCACATTTACTGAGGAAATGATTATTTGAAGCTCATTATTCGATGAATGTTTAATAACCACGAGGCTGATTTGTGACTAAATCAAAATCATTTAGTTCACTTATGGGATTCAGGTATTTTAAGCCTGTGTGCGCTTATAAAATTGCACCTGCTTCTTAAGGTCACTTGTAGTCTCAATCAACAGAAGCTCAACAGAAAAGGGATGTTTTTTGTAAGAATAAGGAGAATCTGAATGTGACGCAAGGAGATAAACAACAGGCAAGTAACGTCGCCTCATAGCTAAATCTAATGGAGTATGACCAAGAGAGTTAGGGGATTCTGAATTCCAACAAAAAGGTGGATTTAACAGCATTAAAATAAATAACAGTTTTTCGGACATTTTGCTGTCGCTGACTAATCAGAAGAATTTCGATGCAAAAAAGCATAACTAGGACTTACCTGATAACTTGGTTACTAATACACAGACTAGCAAACTTAGTGGATGCTAATATCACCAATAAGTAAAAGTAGATAACATAGTGAACCAGTCGTGATAATACTGTGAAATAGCACAATAATAGAATATTGTGCTGTGTGAAATGTGGCTATCACTAATACTGTTACTACTTTTACAACTACGGGACTCGTTTTAGGAACTTCATCTCTCTGTGCTAGTGTGGTGTTGAAAATTGGACCAACGCATGTGTAAGGTGCTACGTTGCGCATGAATGACTGAGGAAAATGATGTAAACAGGTCAATCAGTATCTAGAACTAACATTTCAAAACTTTGCAATGACGACTTATCTGTGAAATTCATAGCCCATCACAGGAATTAAAAAATTTCATTAATTTCAATGTGTAACTGTGGTCCTACCTGTGACTTAGTGGTTAGTATTGGAAATAAAAGTTGGTGATGCTGGACAACCTCGGGAAAATACTGTCGATACGAAAGAACGCAGATGTAGAACAACACAGTATTTATTCCTTATCACAATGCACAGAAAAAATGCATCTGAGCCACCGGATGATTTTCAGTCTGACCAGTTACACTCAAATATCTCATAAAGCGAACGAGAAAGTCAAGAGTTTTCCACAATGATATGTTAGAATAGTTGTTTTTGTCCGACCAACTGAAGAATTTGCCTGAACCATCCGAATTCAGCCAGCATAGTAGGCTGAAGAAGCTAGTGAAATACGACTCAACATACTTAACGGACGAGTGGGCTTGGATACAAAATAATGGCGCACAGAAACATAAAGACACCCAACCATCGAATCTGAAAAACCACAGTAAAAGTGAACACATCTCATCGATCCCCAAGTTGTCAACTATGGAGCAATGTCTAAAACACCCGACCCCCAACCTGTAGGTTCTAGGTTTGAACCTCGTCCCATCTACCTCGGTTTGAGTAGCCCAGTAATGTCACTTGCTCCACCACAAGAAAGTATGGCCTGAAGTGGAACATATCGACTAACGAGTTACATTACCATTTCTTAGATTATGATTTATCTCACTAACCAAAAGAATCATAAACAGTCAGTTTATCTCCCGAGCAGGTTTAATAGGTACGTAACCTATGTGCTTGCGGTAACTATATCCAAGTGCAGACTCACATATGCAAAGCTAAAATTAGCTTCTGGTAATTAAAACGGTTGAACTTACACTAATCGAAATGATCAAATAACATATCACCTAGATTAACGGTTAAATGAAATAGTTAAATCAACGTAACACAAATATAGCATGCGTTTTTTGACAAAAGTAGAGGTATATACATTACGCCAAAAACGTGCATGGGCATACATGAAGTAGGTTTTCACGTATTTGATGATTAACAAGACTTTTCTCTGTTACTAAATCACTTGTAAACGCAGTCCTTTCGTTTTTTAATACATCTCGCAGTTTGTCAGGACAATCATTCTTAACCGCTTGTTCAGCTTTGCTCAATGAATTGGAAAACCTTTCCAAAAGCTCAGCCATATGGAAGTTTTCAAAACCTGAAATTTTAAAGACGCATAAAAACATTATCAGTGGCTGGGAATTATTTTTTAAGTGCTATATGTCGGTGCAATTATTGAAACAAAACCGCTACACTGTAAAATATAGAACAGTTTTTGTCATTTTATCAGGAAAGTTGTCGACAGTAAGACTACAGGACGAAACTGGGTCGCTTTGAGTAATCAAGAATATCAGAAAATAATAGGGCATGTCAAAATTGATGGAAAATATTATTTCGTAGGAAAAATATAACTTGGCGTGATTTTAAAATTAATTATTTTCCCGAAGTAAACATCTTTCCTTTAAATTTTAGGAAAATAATTTTAGTGAGACAATATAGAATATAGAATAGAATGGGAGATCTCCCCAAGCAACACAAAAAGGGGAAATAAAGGGGAAATAAAGGGGAAAAAAGGGGAAATAAAGCGGACGAAGGGGGAAATAAAGGGGAAATGTCGCTTTTTCGCCTTTACGTCGGTTATTTAGGTGAAATGTCGCTTTTTCCCCTTTACGTCGTGTATTTGGGGGAAATTTGTCGACAATTCTATGTAACGTACAGTATTTGAATGAACCGCTTGTGGAGCTTAATTTTTCATAAACTTCGACGAATTAAGGCACCGTTTAATAAAAAAACAAAACTATTGTCATAAAAACAAGGTACAAAATACGGAACCAGGCATTCGGTTCATACGCATATAGACTGACTTCGTTTGTTGTTTAGCTAAAGTGTTTCGACATGCTTGGGAGCCATCACAAAAAACTTACGTGATGCAGGTGAGTGACGTGCTCTCAGATTTTTATGTTCATTGTAATTAATTACATTGTTAGGCCAATACTAAGAGTTCTGTTGAAGTCAGTGAGAATGTTCGTAGACGTAGGGCCACTGTGAACTTGTCACGTTCCCTTGGCTGTCATAGATCCACTTATAACAGAAGGTGGAATAAAATGAGAGCTGCTTTCATGAAAAAATATGACTTTCTTTCGTTCAGTGAGTTTGCTAATGAAAGCACCTTAAAAGGTAACTGCGTTCAACAATGTTGTTTATTAAATTGATAGAAGTAAAGAGAGAAATCACTTGTAATGACAGTACTTCAACTATTACACCATCGAATAGCAACATCAATCAAGGACTTTCAGATAATAGTGGTATGTATACTAAATTCATACGTGAATATATATCTTATAGGATGTCCTGAAGTGAACCTGTGCTCTCCAAAGTTCGTGAATCGCAAAGAAATGATGAACGACTTGATGATGTATCTGATGTCAAATACATCTCTGAGCATAAGGGATGCTGATCGGGTTCTGTATGGTCTAAGATTTTTTATCCCTGACATTCCGAAAAGCATCAGAGGTGTCCTAAAGACGTGTCCAAGTGTTCAACCAAAGTTTATCGGCAGTGGGGTTTACTACCATCTAGGATTGAAAACCAATCTGCTAAGATACGTTGAACTTTGGTTGTGTACTAGTGATTTTGAATTTTTAAATTTATATATCAGTGTGGATGGACTTTCTATGTCTAGAAGCTCCAATCAACAGTTATGGCCTATACTAGGACGGATCGTTGCCCCTAGGCTTAGTGACGTGTTCATAATAGGGATCTACGGAGGGAATAGTAAGCCGGCAGAATTCAACGAGTTTTCTGCGGACACAATTTCTGAAATAAAAGAAATGACTGACGTGGGTCTTTTTAGTGTAAAGTTTAATAAATGTATAGCTATTAGGTTGGCGGCTGTTATATGTGACGCACCTGCTCGTTCTTCTGTTAGGTACACGGTAAATCACAACGGTAAGGCAGGTTGCGATAGGTGTACTGTACTTGGGAGACGGCTGGAGGGGAAAACGACCTTTCCAAATGGAGTACATACCTTAAGAACAGACGACACCTTCCGTCGTCAGTCTCAATCAATTCACCATCAAGGACATTCTATTATGGAAACGCTTTCGATTGATATGATTTTAACTTTTCCTCTAGATCCTATGCACATGGTGTACCTCGGTGTTACCAAAAAACTAGCTAATTTATGGATAGATTTAGCACGCCGAAGACTGCGCGACTTTAACTCATGTGCAATTAGGGACATAAATAATTTAATAACGGGTTGTGTGGCAAGTACTCCTTCTGACTTTCCCCGTAAATGCCGTACACTAGACTTTGTATCGGCATGGAAAGCTTCTGAATGTAGGTTGTTTCTTCTGTATTTAGGCCCGGTGATTCTTGAAAAAACATTGCCACAACCTTTTTATCTTAATTTCCGGCGTTTAGCGTTATCCATTTATCTGCTTGCACATCCGAAATTACATAAAAATGTTGTAGAAACCGTCAAATTAGATTTACTAAACTTCCTAAATGAATACGCATGGTGTTATGGGTGTGAAAACTTAGTTTACAATGTGCATTCGTTACAGCACCTCCCTGACGACGTTCGTGCACATGGACCTTTAGATAGTTTTTCAGCCTTTCCATTCGAGTCTTATATGAGACAAATTAAGAATTCCGTGCGTGGTGGGTTTGCAGTAGCTAAGCAAGCAGCACAGCGTTATGCTGAGAGAATGTCCTTCAGGGATAGGCTTCAAATTAGTGGTTTAACAAATACTACCATAATAGGCGCTAATGATGTCTCCATTAAACAAGTAATTATGTTTAACAACAGCAGAATAAGTTCATATAAACCGGATAATGTAGTAGTAGTTAACGGCCAGCCCGGTTTAGTTACTGACATAAAGGAGGATGGACTACTAAAATTTAGGACTTTCATTGACCCACGCAATTACTTTGAAGATCCTTTCCCATCTAGTGATATTGGAATCTTTATGTGCTCCGTAGTTAGCCATGAATACACATGGGTTTCAATTAAGAACATTGATTGTAAATGTATAGCCATCAATTGTACCAATTACATAGTTGTAATCCCATTGTTGCATACTTTATTGTAAATGCATTTCGTTTCATTAGTGTTTAATTAATGATGATAAACCATTTACTTACGTCTTATGTTCTTTTCAGCCCACTAACAAGAAATACGTTATTGTTGACGCCCTAAAAAAAAACAACTTATGATAGCATCAAAAAATGGATAGTTGGCAATGACCTTTGCGCTTTTCCGAATGAGATGGTCGATATACACCTTCAGAAGTGCGACCAACCTAATGACAATTGGTCACTTATGAAGTGTAAAGTTATTCATGAATTAGGTAAGCTACAATCATGGAAACTATAATTCACTATAGAATCTCTGCAGTCTGCAAAAGATCTGTTAGCTTCCCTGCAAATACTGCAATCTCACCTTGAAAACACTTCAACGGATGAAAACACTCTGCCACATAACACTGAGAAGCCCAAGAGGTCTGTACAATAGTCTTACTAACATTTCCTAGAGGTGTAATGAAACGTAAAGAAGATTTTCTTTACAATTCAGTAGACATGGATGTGGCTGAGATGCAGGCTGGGAATATCCGCGTGCAATATCCCAAATTTCGTGTTTTCGACAATGTGATATCTCCAATCGCCAAGTACGTTTAATTACTATTTAGATATTCACTATTTAGTTCAACACAATTAGAGACATCACCATCGACATCGGAATGTAAGCATGTTGGTGGCGCTGTATTGGACCAGTAAGTGAACTGCATCATCTAGTGACCTTTTTCACCTGTGATAGGTTGTATACTGTGGTGCTGAAGATGTCGTCAGCTATCAATGACTTGACTAAAACGATTAACAACATGTCGTCCGCCATTACGAACTTGAATGTTAATGTAAACCAATTGCTTTCAAAGTCTAATGAGCGCGAAAGACCGCATGAATTCGATTGCGGACTGTCAAGTCAGCAGTTCCCTTTGTCATCTGAAGAGGAACTACAGATGCTAGATACTGGTTTGTCGCAGAAAGAAACCAGGGACAGATTTGTAAGTCATTGACATGAATTTAATAATTTGTTACTATTACAGATGGCAATGGTCACTAGGTTATCAGGTGACGATCCAAAAACGTCCATGCGTTTTATTCTGTCGCATCTGCTGACACCGGAGGTTGCCAGTAAATTCACGTTACTTGGCACCTCTTCTAAACGAGCACTACATAAATGCACGTTTTACAGCTGCATACGAAGTAACCTATATCTATTACTTAAACTTCAGGTGCCTTAACTCATCGTTTTTTGTCATCCTCTGTAAATGAGAAAGACCTTGGTAAGCTATACGACATAGCGACACAAGGTTACTTTCACGACCTCCGAGACAAGATGATAAAACGAAATAGAAGAAAAGAAAATCAGGTAGGTACTAATTTAAAGTGATAACCTCCCTACGGCTCTATAGTTACAGTCAACAATACTGACGAACATAACCGTAAGTTCACCTTCAAGTATTTGGTTGTGCAAAAGCATGTCATTGAGATATGGTTGTGACTTTTTTTTGTTGTTTTTTTTTAAAATCAGAATTCACAGGACGACTACCTCAATTGTGATTAGTCCGTGCAATTGCTTTGATGTTGTACCTCGATTTCAATAAACATTATTCTTTCAAACAGCTTACTCTTTTACCTACATGGGAAACTGTTGAAGTGTTGAGAATGTGTGTTTGAGTTTCAGTGAACTATTGATTAAATGCACATTTCTTATGAATACATTATAACCTGTTCGTTCTTTTTCAGATAATTTCAAATAACAATGTATTAGCAATTGCATTGGATATGCATAACAATCGATGCTTCAGCTTGTGCTCTACTGTTGTACAATAATACGCTTTTCTTTTTCAATAAAATTTTTGAAATATTTACCGCTTTTCCACTGCATTGCAGATATATTTTGGTCTGTTGTTGAAAATAAAGGCGAACATAGGAGACCTTTGGGGTTATGTCGATGGATAGAAAATAGTAGGTAATGTGTGTATTTAGGCGAAAAGTAGACAATTAAGCGCATAAGTAGGCAATTCGGCGGATATTTAGGCGAAAATGCGACAATTTAGCGGATATTTAGGCGAAAATGCGACAATTCAGCGGATATTTAGGCGATAAGTCCGTAATTTGTCGACAAAAAGGCGAAAAAGGGGAAAATCCGCATTATTTCCCCCGGACAGGCGAAAAAGGCGACATTCTGGCGCGTTTTCCCCTATATTTCCCCTTTCGCTACCATAGCATTTACTCTTTATTTCCCCTTTTTGTGTTGTTTGGGTCCCATTTCGTACATTATCCGGGACGATCCTACATTGAAGATATGCATTGTGACGGCTTTTTCGAAATGTACATGCTCAACGAAACATCTCGAAGGTTTATGGGGTTTCATAGTTAAAGTACCAGCAAGATGAGAGACCCCACAAATCACTTACGGTTGGACAGATCGAAGTAGGAGACGAGTTGTTTGAGCCCTAAGCAACCAATAAAGTGGAACAAGGGGGAAATAAAGCGGACAAAAGAGTAAATAAAATGGAAAACTTAATTTTTCCCCTTCACATCGTGTATTTGGGGGAAATCTGTAGACAAATATATGGGCAACGCAGCAGGGGTATCGGTAACTGACGGAGGCCACTGAGCACTTGAAGGTCAGGCCGCCACAAAACGATCGTTAACGATCCCAAAGGTCTCCTATGTTCGCCTTTATTTTCAACAACAGACCAAAATATATCTGCAATGCAGTGGAAAAGCGGTAAATATTTCAAAAATTTTATTGAAAAAGAAAAGCGTATTATTGTACAACAGTAGAGCACAAGCTGAAGCATCGATTGTTATGCATATCCAATGCAATTGCTAATACATTGTTATTTGAAATTATCTGAAAAAGAACGAACAGGTTATAATGTATTCATAAGAAATGTGCATTTAATCAATAGTTCACTGAAACTCAAACACACATTCTCAACACTTCAACAGTTTCCCATGTAGGTAAAAGAGTAAGCTGTTTGAAAGAATAATGTTTATTGAAATCGAGGTACAACATCAAAGCAATTGCACGGACTAATCACAATTGAGGTAGTCGTCCTGTGAATTCTGATTTTAAAAAAAAAACAACAAAAAAAAGTCACAACCATATCTCAATGACATGCTTTTGCACAACCAAATACTTGAAGGTGAACTTACGGTTATGTTCGTCAGTATTGTTGACTGTAACTATAGAGCCGTAGGGAGGTTATCACTTTAAATTAGTACCTACCTGATTTTCTTTTCTTCTATTTCGTTTTATCATCTTGTCTCGGAGGTCGTGAAAGTAACCTTGTGTCGCTATGTCGTATAGCTTACCAAGGTCTTTCTCATTTACAGAGGATGACAAAAAACGATGAGTTAAGGCACCTGAAGTTTAAGTAATAGATATAGGTTACTTCGTATGCAGCTGTAAAACGTGCATTTATGTAGTGCTCGTTTAGAAGAGGTGCCAAGTAACGTGAATTTACTGGCAACCTCCGGTGTCAGCAGATGCGACAGAATAAAACGCATGGACGTTTTTGGATCGTCACCTGATAACCTAGTGACCATTGCCATCTGTAATAGTAACAAATTATTAAATTCATGTCAATGACTTACAAATCTGTCCCTGGTTTCTTTCTGCGACAAACCAGTATCTAGCATCTGTAGTTCCTCTTCAGATGACAAAGGGAACTGCTGACTTGACAGTCCGCAATCGAATTCATGCGGTCTTTCGCGCTCATTAGACTTTGAAAGCAATTGGTTTACATTAACATTCAAGTTCGTAATGGCGGACGACATGTTGTTAATCGTTTTAGTCAAGTCATTGATAGCTGACGACATCTTCAGCACCACAGTATACAACCTATCACAGGTGAAAAAGGTCACTAGATGATGCAGTTCACTTACTGGTCCAATACAGCGCCACCAACATGCTTACATTCCGATGTCGATGGTGATGTCTCTAATTGTGTTGAACTAAATAGTGAATATCTAAATAGTAATTAAACGTACTTGGCGATTGGAGATATCACATTGTCGAAAACACGAAATTTGGGATATTGCACGCGGATATTCCCAGCCTGCATCTCAGCCACATCCATGTCTACTGAATTGTAAAGAAAATCTTCTTTACGTTTCATTACACCTCTAGGAAATGTTAGTAAGACTATTGTACAGACCTCTTGGGCTTCTCAGTGTTATGTGGCAGAGTGTTTTCATCCGTTGAAGTGTTTTCAAGGTGAGATTGCAGTATTTGCAGGGAAGCTAACAGATCTTTTGCAGACTGCAGAGATTCTATAGTGAATTATAGTTTCCATGATTGTAGCTTACCTAATTCATGAATAACTTTACACTTCATAAGTGACCAATTGTCATTAGGTTGGTCGCACTTCTGAAGGTGTATATCGACCATCTCATTCGGAAAAGCGCAAAGGTCATTGCCAACTATCCATTTTTTGATGCTATCATAAGTTGTTTTTTTTTAGGGCGTCAACAATAACGTATTTCTTGTTAGTGGGCTGAAAAGAACATAAGACGTAAGTAAATGGTTTATCATCATTAATTAAACACTAATGAAACGAAATGCATTTACAATAAAGTATGCAACAATGGGATTACAACTATGTAATTGGTACAATTGATGGCTATACATTTACAATCAATGTTCTTAATTGAAACCCATGTGTATTCATGGCTAACTACGGAGCACATAAAGATTCCAATATCACTAGATGGGAAAGGATCTTCAAAGTAATTGCGTGGGTCAATGAAAGTCCTAAATTTTAGTAGTCCATCCTCCTTTATGTCAGTAACTAAACCGGGCTGGCCGTTAACTACTACTACATTATCCGGTTTATATGAACTTATTCTGCTGTTGTTAAACATAATTACTTGTTTAATGGAGACATCATTAGTGCCTATTATGGTAGTATTTGTTAAACCACTAATTTGAAGCCTATCCCTGAAGGACATTCTCTCAGCATAACGCTGTGCTGCTTGCTTAGCTACTGCAAACCCACCACGCACGGAATTCTTAATTTGTCTCATATAAGACTCGAATGGAAAGGCTGAAAAACTATCTAAAGGTCCATGTGCACGAACGTCGTCAGGGAGGTGCTGTAACGAATGCACATTGTAAACTAAGTTTTCACACCCATAACACCATGCGTATTCATTTAGGAAGTCTAGTAAATCTAATTTGACGGTTTCTACAACATTTTTATGTAATTTCGGATGTGCAAGCAGATAAATGGATAACGCTAAACGCCGGAAATTAAGATAAAAAGGTTGTGGCAATGTTTTTTCAAGAATCACCGGGCCTAAATACAGAAGAAACAACCTACATTCAGAAGCTTTCCATGCCGATACAAAGTCTAGTGTACGGCATTTACGGGGAAAGTCAGAAGGAGTACTTGCCACACAACCCGTTATTAAATTATTTATGTCCCTAATTGCACATGAGTTAAAGTCGCGCAGTCTTCGGCGTGCTAAATCTATCCATAAATTAGCTAGTTTTTTGGTAACACCGAGGTACACCATGTGCATAGGATCTAGAGGAAAAGTTAAAATCATATCAATCGAAAGCGTTTCCATAATAGAATGTCCTTGATGGTGAATTGATTGAGACTGACGACGGAAGGTGTCGTCTGTTCTTAAGGTATGTACTCCATTTGGAAAGGTCGTTTTCCCCTCCAGCCGTCTCCCAAGTACAGTACACCTATCGCAACCTGCCTTACCGTTGTGATTTACCGTGTACCTAACAGAAGAACGAGCAGGTGCGTCACATATAACAGCCGCCAACCTAATAGCTATACATTTATTAAACTTTACACTAAAAAGACCCACGTCAGTCATTTCTTTTATTTCAGAAATTGTGTCCGCAGAAAACTCGTTGAATTCTGCCGGCTTACTATTCCCTCCGTAGATCCCTATTATGAACACGTCACTAAGCCTAGGGGCAACGATCCGTCCTAGTATAGGCCATAACTGTTGATTGGAGCTTCTAGACATAGAAAGTCCATCCACACTGATATATAAATTTAAAAATTCAAAATCACTAGTACACAACCAAAGTTCAACGTATCTTAGCAGATTGGTTTTCAATCCTAGATGGTAGTAAACCCCACTGCCGATAAACTTTGGTTGAACACTTGGACACGTCTTTAGGACACCTCTGATGCTTTTCGGAATGTCAGGGATAAAAAATCTTAGACCATACAGAACCCGATCAGCATCCCTTATGCTCAGAGATGTATTTGACATCAGATACATCATCAAGTCGTTCATCATTTCTTTGCGATTCACGAACTTTGGAGAGCACAGGTTCACTTCAGGACATCCTATAAGATATATATTCACGTATGAATTTAGTATACATACCACTATTATCTGAAAGTCCTTGATTGATGTTGCTATTCGATGGTGTAATAGTTGAAGTACTGTCATTACAAGTGATTTCTCTCTTTACTTCTATCAATTTAATAAACAACATTGTTGAACGCAGTTACCTTTTAAGGTGCTTTCATTAGCAAACTCACTGAACGAAAGAAAGTCATATTTTTTCATGAAAGCAGCTCTCATTTTATTCCACCTTCTGTTATAAGTGGATCTATGACAGCCAAGGGAACGTGACAAGTTCACAGTGGCCCTACGTCTACGAACATTCTCACTGACTTAATAGTTTCAGTTTCAGTTTCAGTTTGGGAAGGACAGGAGGCTCGATGGCCTATGTTAGTCCTGGCAATGGTGGTCTCTCAGTTGATCCAACTTTCTTTTGAAAGAGTCGACGGATGGAGCCTCAACCACGTGCTGAGGTAGTGAATTCCACTCGTTGATGATTCGATGGGAAAGTCGATAGTCAGCTGACAAGTAATTTGTTTTCGGCTTATGAACTTTTTTGGAGTGTCCTCGTAAATTCTCTGTTTTGGAAGACAAGAAAAATGAGGGCATGTTAGGTGCAAATTTATCACTAAGCAATTTGTAGACTGTAATCAAGTCGCCTCTAGTTCTGCGATATGACAACGGGAAACGTTTCAGCTTGGCCAGTCGAGATTCATACGGAAGCTTCGCTATTCCGGGAAACAGCTTAGTCGCCGTTCTCTGAACCTTTTCCAGAAGCTCACTGTCTTTTTTAAGGCAGGGGCTAGCCGCTTGTATGCAGTACTCAAGTTTAGGACGAACGAACACTGTATACAAAGTCAAAAACGTCTTAGTGTCGACATGACTAAAAGCCCTTCGTATTGACCATAACGTTCTAAAACTTTTGGCGGCTATTGCACGGCAGTGTGCAGTAGTCTTTAAGTCTTGACTAACGATAACTCCTAAGTCATTATATGTCTGGACGACAGGTAGCTCAGTGTTATTCATCGTGTATGTATCTGTGCCTTGATGACCGATATGCATCACAACACACTTGGAAGTATTTATCGGCAACTGCCATGTTTGAGACCATTCAGATAACTTCTTCAGGTCATTTTGAAGTTCTAAGCTATCACTCTTACATCGTATCGTTCTCCATATCTTGACATCGTCAGCATATAGCAAGACCGATGATGATAGGAGACAAGGAAGGTCATTTACATACAAGAGGAATAGCACTGGCCCCAAAACTGTACCCTGGGGCACTCCACTAAGCACAGTTTCCCAGCTAGATAACTTTGAGTTCACCCTTACTCTTTGTTGACGCCCAACTAAGAAGTCTTTTATCCACATCAATAAATTACCTCCAATCCCGACATGTCTTAACTTATATAACAGCCGGTTGTGCGGAACTTTATCAAAAGCTTTACTGAAATCAATGAAGGCGACGTCTACAGGTAGCTTTTGGTCCTTAAGAGCACACCAGCTTTCACGAGCCACTAATAAGTTAGTGAGACAAGAATAACCTATTCTGAAGCCATGCTGCTTCTCCGAGAGGATCCGGTTTTTATCGAGATACTCAACCAGCTCCTTCCGAATAATCTTTTCTAATATTTTAACAACCACACTAGTTAGGCTAACGGGGCGGTAGTTCTCAGGTTTGTGTTTCGTGCCTGTTTTGAAGACAGGACTTACTATGGCGTTTTTCCAGTCTTTCGGTAAACGACCCTGCGTAACGGATAGGTTAAAGCATGTACTTAAAGGGTTCGCAACGAAGTTAGATAATTCCTTCAGTAGCCTAGGATGTAATTCATCGGGCCCCGTGGATTTACCTATGTCAAGCTTATTTAGCAGACCAAAGACATCGAGTTCTTTAATGGTCACGCTATCCAGTGTATGTATGGGGGGATCTGTATACGCTGACGAGAAGGGCGCTTCTATGGTATACACGTTGCTAAAGTAGTTCGAGAACGCTTGAGCCTTACCAAAGTCGTCCTCCACTAATGATGAAGCAGTACTGTCTCCCCATAGAGCAGGAATATTTCCTTTTCTCCTTGTCCTTTGGTTTATATAGGAATACAGGCGTTTAGGACATTCTATGGATTCCTTAACAAGTTTTCCTTCGTACAGTTTTCTACACTTACGGAGGGTCGAGGCACAAGTGTTCCGAGCCTTTCAATACTGAGATTTTGACTCATCAGTCCCCAGTAACCTAAATCTATCCCACGTTTTCCTTTTTTTACGGAGAAGGATACGGACCTCCCTACTGAACCATGGTGGTGAGTTTTTCGGCCCCTTTGGTATAGTCCAAGGGATGTGAGGTGTGGTAACTTTTAAGTATGATTTTCGAAATGCGTCCCAGGCCGTTTCAATGGAGGACTCTGGGTCTATTGTCCAATCTATTAACGATGCTGAGTGCATGATGTCTGGTATGTTTGCTTTCCAGACGTTGGGTCTGGACTGGACTGACGCGTCCTCATGACTGGCAGTTATATGGAGGTCGAAAGTTAAAACTGCGTGGTCACTTTTACCTAAGGGTGGCATATGGTGGAGGTTCGCAACATCATCCTCATAGTGAGTCAGTATAAGATCTAATAAGGATGATTCAGTGTCCGGGTCGTACCTAGTCGCTTCTTTCACATGTTGCACTAGGGCACATGTGATAACCGCATCAACTAGTTCCTGCTCGAAGGAATTTTCTGACGATTCAGTTCGCAGATTTTTCCAGTCTACCATAGGTGCATTAAAGTCCCCTAGGATTAGACATCGACCACTTTGGGACCAAGTATTGAGACTGCTTAACAGGATCTCATTTGCCTCACAGCTTGGACTGCGATAGACCAAACCAATCAGCAGCTCTTGTCCCTTGCATTTTAAGCGAAGACTAACTAATTCACACGTCCCACTCTCATGGGATACACTATCGATAATGGTAAATGGGATAGCATTCCTAATGAATAGAGCTACTCCCCCTCCTTTGCGCTTATGTGTTCTGTCAGCCCTTACTAACGTAAAGCCCTCGAAATCAAGTTCTATACTATCTATAGCCTGTGTCAGCCAGGTTTCTGTTACTGCGATTATATCTGGCTTTATAGAGTCAATCTGTACACCTGATTCCGATCGCTTATTAAGTAAGCTTCGTGCATTGGTGTAACAGATCCGAAGCCTGTTTAAGTGCCTTCGTGCTTCACCCAGAGTGGCTTCGGCATCATTCTCTGTCGAAGTCTTACAACCCGAAAATTTACAATTTTCAGGTCCTTTTCGCCAGCGTCTAACCTATGTTGTAGTTCTTTCTCGGCTTCCCGTCTTTTAACACGGTCTGCCAACGGTAGGTCCTTTCGGATAAAGACTCCTGAACCCTTTAATTTGTGTCCATTTTGTAAAATTAGGTCACGTTCGTTTGAAGAGCCGAATACTACTTTAAACAGTCTGGAATGATTTGGTTTCGAGTCCGTTAGACTCCCTAGTCTATACACCTTTAGCAAGGTGACCCCAGTCATATTTTGAGGCATGAGTTGATTAAGCAGCTGCCTAATCAGTACAATGTCATGCTCAAAACGAGCTTTAGGTTCAGAGCTACCGCTCTCCTTAATTCTATGAAAAATAGCTGATCTGTCGCTATGATCAGCTTTCGGTTTTTCAACCACTTTTGCGGGGGCAGGTTTCCCTTTTATATCAATACTTTTCTTCCTTACAACCTTTACCCATTCGTCAACGCTGCTGGTAGAAGCAATAGCAGTTGCGTCAAACCTAGTGTTGGGTTTTGGGGGGTTGTCGACGACCTGAGGGGTCGTGTTATGTTTACCATTTGAAACCGATCGAGACTTGCGATTGCGGCTCCTAGGTGTTTCCTGTTTGATCCCATCTGGGAGACGGGGAACAGAAGACCCTACTTTTCTTGAGCTTTTTTTTAAAGCAGGCCCCTTTGGAGACTGCTTTTCCTTCTTTGACGGGCGTGAGTCATCTATCATCGGACTCACCTTAGTTTCCTTCACATTGATTTGCGTGTCAACAGATCGAGTGCTGTTTGACGCGTTCCGACTATGCTTGTTAAAACACTTCTTTGCAGCATCAACCAGTGAGATGACCTCGGTTAACAAGCTGTTTGCATCCGAGCAGCACTGTTGACAGAGCCACACACAACCCTTCTTACTGAACCGTTTGAAAGCAGCAGGCGTTAAGTTCGTGCAAACTTCGTGGTACCAGCCTTTGCACTCGTCGCACTGCATGCCGCTTTCAACAGGATAACGACAACCCGGACGTCGGCAACTGCTTTTTTTACACTGTCCGTTCATTTGGGAGGGGTTTTTTAATATGCGATGATACCCAGAAACAAAAAAATTATCAATGACCAAAAAAAGTGAAGAGCTGTAGATTGCTAGGACCAAAAGTACTAACAGATACAGTTGAAAAAGAGGTACTAGAGTACCAACGACAAAACAGTAAAAACGATACTTTAGTCGAATACTTTAACTGAAATAAATTCAATTAAAGTGAAAAACAGTAGTCTTGATACGTAATTAAACGATCAAAACAATGAAATTTACTCAGCGAGGAAAAATACCACTGTCCTTTTTAAATAGCGCGCAACAGAACTCTTAGTATTGGCCTAACAATGTAATTAATTACAATGAACATAAAAATCTGAGAGCACGTCACTCACCTGCATCACGTAAGTTTTTTGTGATGGCTCCCAAGCATGTCGAAACACTTTAGCTAAACAACAAACGAAGTCAGTCTATATGCGTATGAACCGAATGCCTGGTTCCGTATTTTGTACCTTGTTTTTATGACAATAGTTTTGTTTTTTTATTAAACGGTGCCTTAATTCGTCGAAGTTTATGAAAAATTAAGCTCCACAAGCGGTTCATTCAAATACTGTACGTTACATAGAATTGTCGACAAATTTCCCCCAAATACACGACGTAAAGGGGAAAAAGCGACATTTCACCTAAATAACCGACGCAAAGGCGAAAAAGCGACATTTCCCCTTTATTTCCCCCTTCGTCCGCTTTATTTCCCCTTTTTTCCCCTTTATTTCCCCTTTTTGTGTTGCTTGGGTTGCGTCACCTCGACAATTTGTAAGGTTTTGCAGAAGCGGTCAAATCAAAACACTTTTAGATCTGGATTGAGTGCAGCAACACTGTCTGATAATGTAACGTACCGTGTTTAAATATATCGCAACATGTACTTACATTTCCATAAACCTCTACAACATTACATGCTGTTTATTAAAAAGGAAGACAATTATCGTCAACACAAGTAAGAAAATGCAATCACAGGAATTTCCCCTAAATGTATATATCCGTACCTTGTTGTTTGTCTACCTAATGTGTCCCGGCATGCTTGATGGCTATCACAAATAGCTTGCGAGATGCAAGTGAGTGACGTGCTTTCTGTTTCCTATGTTCATTTTCACTAATTACTTTGTTTTTCCTGTAAAGTGAATTCAGTTAAAGAGAGATCGTAGACGTAGGGCAACTGCGAACTTGTCAAGCGCCCTTGGTTGTCATAGATCAACTTACAACAGACGGTGGAATAAAATACGAACAGCTTTCACGAAAACAATATAGCTTGCTTACGTTTAGTCAGTTTGCTAGTGAAAGCATGATCAAAAGTAGCCGACTTTAGCTGTGATTTATTTTGCAAGTGCTTGCTGAGAGTCGAATACTTTAACAATTGTGTTATCACTGCAACTGCAAATTTACGTGTGCTTTACTGTGATTCCATACATCACATAGTACTTTGTCAGCCTTGTGATTACGGAGGTAATCTGAGGGTGTGCATTGTTAAGATATCGAATATGGAAAGTATTTGGAACGTGAAAGTCCGTTGATTAGATTGATAGGACGTAACATGTATTATTATACATGACTGACCAGAGTGTCTTGGATAAGCATCCATTGCGATCACTTAGATACATGGACGTATACTGGATGAGGCACACACCCAAAATTATTCATGGGGTGCATAAATGGCTTTGAGAAATCCTTGAATTAACCTTGGGTCTCAGTTTGGGAAGTACAGGGTACTCGGTGGCTTGTATTGGTCCTGGAAATATTGGTCTTCAAGTTGATCCGCCTTACTTTTATAAGCGTTGACCGATAGAGCATCAATCACGTGTTGAGTCAACGAATGAAATTCGTTGATGATTTGATGGGAAAGTCAGTAGTCAGATGATAATTATTTTGTTCTGGACCCCTGAGCTTTTCCAGAGCGTCCTCGTAAACTACGTGATTTGGAAAACAACGCCATATCAGGTACCAATCCATCATTAAGTAATTTAAACTGTAACATATCGTCAGCCTGCTTAAATACATGGGTTACCTCTTCCTGCCGTCCAAGTATTTTAACATATTATCTGGTCTTTATTTTGTTTTAACATCTCATCATGTCTATTAATCACATAACATGTACGTGCGCGTCTATGTAAAGCCTACTACGTTTTACTGCACAGGTTACAAAAAAGTACAATAACAAACGTCGTGGTGGCTGGCAATATATGTTGAAGAGAATGAACATTAACAATACGTCAATTCCCGAGCCGCTAAATTCTAACTGTCTATCACTAATTAACAAGGTGGACTATCTTCAGTTCCTACTTAGTCAAAACATTCAGTCTCTCAGTTTATATATGTACCATATACCGTATCCACTTTGATTGTTTGATACTAATTATCGACAGTTCTGAATTACTTTGTTATATAGGGCTATCTTTTCGTGCAATATATGTGTTAAAATTTACACTATGTGCACCTTTATGTTCTATTTTGCAAAACAGATTTTCAAAGATATTAGGATTCTCCTAGACTGAACACCATGCCAGCGAAAAGCAGGAAGAGCTGGTTACAGACCACTAGCATCAAACTTCCAAGCGCATCATAGTCCCAAAGGTCGTAATTTTAAGTCCGATTCCAAGAGAACCCCTGACTTTACAGATATGCCGCCACCAATAAACTCTCCTGAATCTCTTAAAGTTCAAAACCCAGAAGAAAGCAACTCCAGTTTAGATGGTGTCCATCCTCCTAAGAATGTTGACTTAGATCTAACTCTAAGTAGTTGTGCTGATGACGAATCGGATAACACAATCTAGATTCATATCAGTGCAACACCCAGTTACGGTAACCGTGCAACGGATAACGGGGAAAATAGTGATAACACTTATATAACTGACGATATATTTGATCCTTGCAAATCATTACCAGTATGTCTAACAACAATCGATTCTCCGCAAATTAAGAAGGAGCTAAAGGAAACCACAAAACGTGGAAATAAACTTTTGGAACATGTTACACATTCGTCAGGCACAAAAAGTATTTCGAATTGTAAATGGCCACTTGGTTGCGCAAATAGGCCTGGTAGCCTAATTTGTCCGACCCCCAATATTTACACTATATCTCTATCAGATATTGTAAGCAATAACAATCAGGAGACATTTGTTGTAATGAAGCCTGCTTCTCTGTCGACAACGGTAAATATATTACAAATGATGATAAAGTTGTTGAATCTTCTCCTCCCTCATAACACATTTCTTACCTTAGCCAATCCTATGAGTATCCATGCAACTACCAATTGTGATCTATACTCTAATCTGCTTCACTATGATAGCTCTCAACTTCTTGTTCTTTCGTTCAATGCCCGCTCTCTGTCCAGTAAAATTGCTAACCTTAAAATCCTTTTACTTCTTGTAAATCTAACCATTGTGTTTATTACGGAAACGTAGCGCAAATCATCCATGTCCGATCACTCCTCGCATGTGGATAACTACGTTTTCTTTTAAACCGATAGATGTCATGAAATAGGTGGCAATACAATTGCCTATGTCCATTCAGACATTCAGTCGTGCAAATTTGAGAATGAATCTCTTAATACAATAGACGACCCCACTTGGATTACCGTAAATTGTGGACCGCAAAATCATCTACTGGTGGGATACATATACAGACCACCTCATGCAGATACCAAGTTTAACAGATTACTATAAAACACATTTTTCATTGCATACGCATAAGTTTAAAGTAATCGGAGGTGATTTTAATCTGCCGAACATTAAATGTAGTTCGACTTCCGTACCAGGTCGATATAACAAGTTAGTTGAAGCAATAGAACTTTGTAGATAGATTCAACCGGTCGGAAAACCAACTACGAGGAATAATGAACTTGATTTACTATCTACAATCAGCATAGACTATCTTACTGCAAGTCAGTCACGAGATTTTTGTGAGTGTCGTATTGAGTATTATTAATTCTCTAAACACTATACAATTGAACTATAAAGTTGCAACAATGTACCAGAGCAGACAGTTTGATCAACAAACCTGGAAGCGCACTGAAACTCTCATTCGATGCTTATCATGTGAATCTTGTTTCACTACAAATAATATTGACACTGCGCTTTCCACTCGCTTGGATGCTCATTTAGACATAGTGTTCATCAGTGGTGTAGGAATATACGAGACCCGTAGATATGCTTCATTTTTGGTTTGGATCATTGTATAATTCGTATTCTGCCCGAAGTATATGTCAAGCTTGGGAAGAGTAAGCTCTTACATAAAATAAAGATAATAAAATACAGGAATCTCTCAGAACAATATATCCAAAATCTGAAAACCATGTTTTGTAACACTAGCTGGAAATCATGTCCAGATGATTCAATGGAAGATACCGTTTATGTTATCACTTGTTATATTAAATTCTGTTTAGATATTTGTTCTCTCACTGCAACTACGGCGAACAAAAGAACAAAAACTCTGTAAGATCCATTTTGAAGGTTTTATGTGTTGGTGAAAATCCCTCCATGTATATACTTGTACTTTATTCCTATTGATCGCATTAGTTGTACATTGTTGTATTTTGATTACATTTGAATTGTTAATATTTGTATTTTTGTTATAGTTTTTGTTTTTATTACGCATTCACTAAGTTTGTGTTTCTTCCTGAACTGCATCTGCGTTGTTTTACTTGACACTTGTTCTTGGCGGTAGCCATATTGATTTGTTCCTCCTGTTGTGTGTGATCTATCCAGCCAGGATAGAATAACGTTGATTTGTTGTGATTGGTAATTTTTCCTCATCTTCTATCAACTTCTTTATTTATTGTAATTTAGATTTAATTGATTGAACAATCATTGGTTGAATAGCCGGGTGATAATATTTGTTTAGGTAATGATTTACATTAAATTTATTATGAATTATAGAACCGCTAGTTACCCGATTACTTGTTCTGATTTCGACGGGAAAGAGCGCGTGTCTAAAACCCCCTGTCGGCTATTCTTCAACATCCAAACCGTAGTTTAGATCCTACAAACTCTATTAAGGTTTGAAGGCTACGTGGTCTAATAAAACTAGAGATTAGACTTCTGAATTCTATGTTGACCCAGAAAAAATTCTATCTTGTAAAAACTCTTAAAGTATGTGGAAAGTATTTGGGGAGCTTACAGGTGGCGGGTACATAAGAAGCGATAAACAGCTGAATGTTTGCGACTTAAATAAGTCTTTTTTACATCAGTCGTCCCATGTCATGCTTTCTATATGAAGAGGTTTGAAGAATAGTTGAGTTCCGATTTTCACTAAAACTGTTGTCCGAAAATGTCGCCAGTCACTTATTTCGTCCCAGTGTTTGGAACGTGATGAAATCCCGAAATTCCTTTGTGAAAAATGTTACGACGTTCCAAGTTATTTATTCAAGAACATCTTTAACCGATCCTTCTCAACTAATATCATACCGGAAATGTGGATAAAGATAAATATAATCCCAATAACTAAGCATCTAGTGATAAGAATGTGAGACTTATACCCATGGAAATAACATC